TGAGGCATATACGGGCACAAAAACACCCCAGACAAAGGGACGTGCAAGGATCCCGAAATGAGGGGAATAGCATTGCGACATAAGTGCGAAAAAGGCGAGGAAAGGGGTGAAAAGCACCCCCAGGGAGGACGGAACCGAACTGACCCGAAGGGACACGGAACCGATCCCAGGGAGGGGTAGACCAGAGACCAACACGAACATAGAGGAGGAAGGGAAAACCCCACTCTGAGGAATTGCAAACCCCGCTCCGTGGGTACAAAACCCCAAGTGGGTCAAAACGGGGCCTAGGCCCCCAGGTAACCCCTCCTCAACCCTGGGAACCTCTACGGCATGACCCGGGGCCGAGCCGTTCCCCCAAAGCCCCAGTCCTGCAAGTAAAAGCCGAGGCAGCCATGCACAAGACTTCCATCAGCCAAGAACTGAAGGTTGGGTTGCCGGTGGGCGGGTCTGGGGCTCTCCCTTCCCCCTCCCGGGGAGGAGGGGGGTATTGCGCAGACAGCGGCGTGGCGACATGATGACATCATGCTAGTTTGCTAATTTTCATTTGAGGAGTTCTGTCCACTTGTTCGGGCTTCGGTTGCAATAGTTTTAGCAGAATAGGGGTTTGTTTTGGGGCACCTACCTATCTGGGTGCCTGTCTCAGTCAATGGCAGACATAGAATGCTCCCAACCACAGGGGGGGTCTCTATAGGCCATTGCTCCTCGTGCCTCTCTAGAGGGGGCCAGGTTCTGGCTTGTGGTCCCCGGTAGGCAAGAACTCCATGCATTGACTGATGCCAGAAAGATATACATATCTATTCAGCCTGGATAGATCCGGAGAGCCGACGGGGCTCTCCCCAGAAATGCCCGGGATCAGACACCAGGCCAGAAGAGCAAGTAACCAAGGCTGAGCTGGCCACCACGGGGGCCAGAGAAGCTGCAAGAGAGGACAACAGAAATTGTCTACAGCATCAAAATGGATGGGGCAATCCTTGGAAAAAGGCAAGCTACACCCGTTGTGAAATGCAGGCCTTGCTCCAAAACCGTCAGAGGCTTCCTCGGAGCCTAGCACAAGGATTAGGGGAGTGTGTACAATATATACACACAACGAAACCAAACAGACAATGGAAGCAAAAAAGTCATTTGGCTGTTTCAGCGCTTTGCTTTCTTTGAACCTAGCATTTGTGTATATTACTTTGCTTACTTTCTAGATGTTTGATTGGTGAGGGTGATCATAATAATCCCTTGCTCTCTGTCCCTCTGTGAGGAGGCCAGGATCTGGCTCTGGTCCCTGGTAAGCCATACAGGACTCCTAAGGCTGATGTACTCAGTTAGGGAGCTACCTCAGCAAGTTAGCTTCAGGAAGCCACTGTTTACACCTCCAGAAAAAACAAAACAATTCTATTAACATTAACTCCTGGACTGCACACCTGTTAATACCTGTCAACATCGCTGTGCACAAGAAAAAAAAATTCTATCTAATATTGTCAAAATGCATTCCCTGATCATGGGAAGTTTTACCAGTGAAGTACCACAGGGTTCAATTCTAGCACCAGTAATGTTTATTATCTATATGAACAATCTACCAGAATGAATACAGAATTATATGAACATGTTTGCTGATGATACCAAGCTGCTAGGGAAGATAAGAAACCTAGATGATAGTCATGCTCTTCAAGAAGACCTGGACAAAATAAGTGTATGGAGCAACACTTTAACGGATGGAAACTCAAGTGAATAAATGCCACTTTATCACACACAACCTACAAATTAGGTACAAAATCTTTAAAGAATTCTGATAAAGAAAGAGATAAAAGGATGGTTCAAGATGAAAAACTGTCACCTGATGATCACATAAAGAACATTGTGCGAGGAGCGTATGCTACGCTTTCCAACTTTCTACCCGGCAGGTAGAAAACAGTGGGTCATAATCAGAGAAGATGTATCAGGCTGGTGAAGTGGCAAAAATAAGAAAAATCATTCAAGACTCTAATTAAGCCTATTAAGTCCATATACACTGTCTATGTGAGCTCCTTACTAGAGTATAAAGCATCGGCATGAAACCAACATCTTGTGAAGTACAAAAGGCAACTTTGAATAAGTTCTGAAGTATACAACTAGATTAATACCAGAAGTGAGAGGTCTCAGTTATGAGAACAGGTTCATAGTATTCAATTTCACAACCTTAGAGAGAACAAAGTGGGAATATGATCACTACATACAAGATACTGAAGGAATGGACAATGTCACAGAAATGAGCCTGTTATTAATATTTTTTTGTATGTAGAGTGAGTACTCCTGTCAATGGTAAGCCAATCAAGGAAGTAACAGAAATATTGGCTCTTAACTTGGTTACTGATAAGTTTATGGGACATTCTGACAGAAGACCAAGTTGAAAAATTAAGTGACAATGTACGAAGTGTGGAACCACTCAAAAGAAACAGTACAATTACAACAAAGTGCTGCCTTGAGATGGCTATTTATGGGGTAGCTAGTGGGTAAGCCTAATCCATGGCTAGCATGCGAGTTTCTTCAGTGGCCTAGACGGACCGATCACATGCAATCCCCCCAGTTCCGCCGTCTCACCTAGGGGTTTGCAAAAGTCTCACCTTGCAAAAGCTAGCAAAATGTGCACGATTAGGTTCTGCATTTTCCCAAAAAAATCTGTCCCCCTCATAATCAATAATGCTTATTGCAGACGAGGAGTCACAATAACGTGGCTGAAATATGTTGACCAAACCACACACTAGAAAGTGAAGGGACGACGACGTTTCGGTCCGTCCTGGACAATTCGCAAGTCGATTGTGCTTATTTGTTTATTATTTACAGATCAACTGGCATCTTCCTCTCTAATACTGTACTGTATTTTTATTTTTTATTTATAAGTTGGAGGAATTTTTCATCTTTAACCACCGTGCTGCACTGAATTTATTGTGAAATTCCCCCGGTGCGCATGAAATAGTGTTCCAAAAAAATTATTTTTTCTTCGTAAAATGATAAATTCCCTTCCCTGAATGTGTCTATGTAAAAATAAATACCAAATTCCACTTACTTTGGCTGTGGGGACGTGGACAAGGTGCATTGTGACATCATCAGGGCCTGGTCGCCCGTGCGTGACTCGCCCAGACACGGTCGCGCGGGCCATTCAAACATCAGGTGTTGCCACAAATATATTTTCAATTATTTGTTTTATGTATTTCCAATGTGGTTTTATTTGTTTTTTTTATCGTATATGATGCATATTTGTGTCCTTTACAATATGTATACAGTAGAACATTCATAATATTCCATGGAATTGTGATACATGTGTCAGTAATGTGTCCACAATAAATGTTTATTGTAGCAATATTATCTGTTAAAAATTCACTAAAATTACAATATGTACAGTTTCACACACTATTTACACAGTAACACTCAGTACTTCGGAAGTGAGTAATAATCAAGGAAGTAGTCCATGGTACACAGTGCAATTTTGCTCTCAGTGCAACAGGTACAGATAAATTTTCGCTTCCTGTTTCTTCATTCTGCGTGCTTGCAAATAACGCACTCACGTACACCCTTGGCTTTAGTACTTGTAGGTTGTATGTAGCCAAGCTTGTAAAGCATAAGGTAGTATTGAAAAGATTATAGGAAAAGATCAATTTGTAAGGTACTCTTGAAAAGATTGCTTTGTATGGTCCCACACAGGAAGAGATTCAGCTTGCCTCAAAGAGTGTCCATCAGTCAGAAAGAGATTCAGCTAGCCTCAAAGAGTGACCGTCAGTTAGAAAGAGCTTCAGGAATTCTTGAAAATATCTATAGAAAACACCACCATGGAAGCCGCTAACACTGTTCATCTATGCTACTTGTATCTGATGCATCATCACTGAATGCAGAAAATGATTCATCTATTATCATCTAAATAAATTGGAGATGGCATAGGATTGCAAGGGGTGATGCTCAGAGCTACAACTGGATACGCTCGCTGTATTGTCCTCATAGGTGCTGTATCACTTGCATCCGACCTTTGTGTTAGGTCCTTATTGCACTTAGCTTCACCAATATTATGACCCTTATGTTCTTCAAACAATGTGGTTTGAATTTCACGGACAGAGCGTTATCTTTCAACACCGCGTCGGACAGGTGTTTGGGAGCCAGAGGCGCGTGCGCCACCCATGGTTGCTCATTCAGTACTAACCCAGCCAGCAGCCCTAGGGCATTCTGGGAATTTTTTCCAAGATGGCTGCCTCTCACTGGAGGTCCTAAGAGTCCATTTCATACACAACCAACCTCGTACACATTTAGAATTGGTATCCAAAAATCGAAAAGTTTTTTCGGTTGGCGCAGTTTCCCGCTGACCGAGAATACTCGGTTGGCGCAGTTAAGTGGTTAATCAATTATATATCCATAGCAATGGCTGCAATAACTGGCTATTATATTTACCGGTGGAGAGGCTGCACGTTTTGGGTCCACCACCAATTGAATATATATTGTATTTATATACAACAAATCATGTTTTCCTAATAAAACTAGTCAGAAATCACTTTCATAAAATGTATGATGAAACATGATAAAAAAAAAAAAAATTCACACAATATCCTTGTAAATTAAATGGGTGTTATATGCTGGAAAATATGGGAGGAGTTCTTACAATATATCCTGAGATCCACAGTGATAGTTACACAAACAATTGTGCAAACTTATGTTTTCTGCACTTAAAGGTGGGAAAGCTCTTAAATTGAACTATATTTGAAGAGAAGGGGAAGAGGGAGGGGGGAGAGGGAGGGGAAGCATGCATAGTGAAAGTAAAGCATTACATGTTGACCGGAATGGTCAATATCAAAACTTAACGAAGCTCAAGTAACCATACAAAGTTAAATGTAATTTTTCATACTCCTACAATTAAAATCAGTATATTTAGTAAAAGAATAAATATATTATACCTCTGAATTATTTATTTTAATGTGCCACCATTTTCTAGGCATGTATATATATATATATATATACAGTAATTTTATAAAGTGATACACTGCCAAGCTTACCTTAGTATCAAGTGGCGGAGACTTAAAATCTGCAGGTATCTGAGTCAACATTGGAATATATACTTCCATTTCTTGTGCTTCAATGTCAGACTGTGTATCTGGTTGTCCAATATTCATGCCCTGTGTACTCCTCTTGCCATTTATATGACCATTTCCATTACAAGCCAATACTCGTGGTTGAGATGGTATGTTACGGAACTTGATCAAATAAATAATTATGGGTATAATCAACAGCAGAAATACAAATGCCACCGAACCAGAGATAAGATCTGAAAAGATGAAAAATCCAGCACTGAATGTAATGAAACGCCTCTTTGTTATGAGACCCTTCACTGACTAGCTACAGGGACTCACCGAGAGCATCCTCCGAGAAAAGAAAGGAAAGTTTAAATATTTTTAGTAAATAATAATTTAAAGTCCACTGCTCACCCATGACTTATTTATTAAATGGAATATCTTTAATCCATGGGGTTGAGACAAAGCTATTTCTAAATTATCAAATCTGTACAGTATTTAAATTTATATACACTTGGTACCAAACTGCTAGCTGTGTATGGCATAAATTTTATCAGTATATAATTTAACCATAAATCCATCTCGTCTATAACTCACATTCATGTGTTTGAAATTTTCTAGGAACCAGCTTCAACTAACAGGGATGATTTAAAGTACAGTACTGTACTGTGTAAGATTTAAAAGTCCCACGCATATACAGGGCTCACATTTGCTTCCTCAGGCCTGCGGTAAACAGATGCCATCTTGGAAAAATTGTAGGCACTGACCCTATAGTGTGAGGGGTCTCATTATTGAGAGAGCAACTGCGAGTAGCGTATGTCACAGCAGCTCACGACAACACCGTACAACCTGTGCCCACAGCATCACTTAATTGTAAAGAAATAAACAAATGACTGATTGATAAAGACTATATCCAATAATTCAGATATCAGTAAACACAATGCTGGATGTTCACAATGTTCACAGTACAAGGTAGACATTCACAGCACAGAGCCACTGTATATGCGTGGATTTATGCCTCATGAAACATGATGTCATGTTTTTCAGAAAATAAACTTGTTGAAAACTATTCATATTCATGATTTAGTGACCTGAAATCTGATAATAGCAGCGTGTAGCTTGAGTTAGCGATGTGCATAGCATATCATGAGGAATTTTGCTGCATCAGGTTGCATTGTCTGCTGGCATCATCTGCTTGATACCAGCTTGATGGGGTTCTGGGAGTTCTTCTACTCCCCAAGTCTCGCCCCAGGCCAGGCTTAACTTGTGAGAGCTTGGTCCACTAAGCTGTTGCTTGGAGCGGCCAGTAGGCCCGCATATCCACCACAGCCCGGTTGGTTCGGCACTCCTTGAAGAAAATCATCTAGTTTTCTCTTAAAGATGTCCACGATTATTCCTGTAATATTTCTTATACTCACTGGGAGGATGTTGAACAACCGTGGATCTCTGATGTTTATACAGTGTTCTCTGATTGTGTCTATGGCACCCCTGCTCTTCACTGGTTCTATTCTGCATTTTCTTCCATATCGTTCACTCCAGTATGTTGTTATTTTACTGTGTAGCTTTGGGACCTGGCCCTCCAGTATTTTCCACGTACTCTATATATTATTTGATATCTCTCTCGTCTCCTTTCTATTGAGTTCATTTGGAGAGCTTTCAGACAATCCCAATAATTTAGGTGCTTTATCGCTTCAATGTATGCCATATATGTTCTCTGTATTCCCTCCATTTCAGCACTCTCTCCTGCTTTGAACGAGAAAGAGAGTACTGAGCAGTACTCAAGATGGAACAGTACAAGTAATTTGTATAATACAACCATTGTGATGGGATCCCTGGATTTGAAAGTTCTCGTAATCATCCTATCATTTTTGTGGCTGATGCAATATTTGCTTGGTTATGCTCCCTAAACATTAGGTCGTCAGAAATTATTATTCCCAAATCCTTTACATGCTGCTTTCCTACTATGGGCAGATTTGATTGTGTTTTGTATCCTGTATTATGTTTAAGGTCCTCATTTTTACTGTACCTGAGTACCTGGAATTTATTTCTGTTGATACCTGGTTGATGGAGATCTGGGAGTTCTTCTACTCCCCAAGCCCGGCCTGAGGCCAAGCTTGACTTGTGAAAGTCTGGTCCACTAACTTATTTAACATCATGTTATTTTCTGTTGCCCAGTCTAAAACTTTATTTATATCTGCTTGAAGTTATTCAATGCCTTCAGCAGATGTAATTTTCATGCTGATTTTTGTGTCATCTGCAAAGGATGATACAAAGCTGTGACTTATATTTTTATCTATATCTGATATGAGAATAAGGAAAAGCAGTGGTACAAGGACTATACCTTGAGGTACAGAGCTTTAAACTGCGCTTGGACTCAATTTTATATGGTTGACTGTTACTCTTTGCGTTCTGTTCGAGAGAAAACTGAGTATCCAGCGTCCTTCTATACCGGTTATTCCTAGTGACCTTATTTTGTGTGCTATCACTCCATGGTCACAGTTATCGAATGACTTTGCCAAGTCTGTGCATACCACATCTGCATTCTGATTTTCTTCTAATGCCTCAGTGACTTTGTCGTAGTGGTCATCTGCCAATAATGTGTGTTAATTCTGTTCTTGTATTTTATAACCACACCCACCAGAACTGCATAGTTTTTATTTTAATTTATTTATTTTTATTTATTTATATATACAAGAGTTCTTACATTCTTGTACAGCCACTAGGGCGCATAGCTTCGGGCAAGTCCTTAATCCTAATTTTTCCCGGAATACGACCCGCTAAATCATTTAACAACCAAGTACCCATTCACTGCTGGGTGAACAGAGGCTACAGTTAAGGATTGGCACCCAGTTTTGGGAGCCAAGTTTCTGAATTGATTGTTCGGAAATTGTTTTCCAGAATGGGCTTGATCACAATTAGTCTATGCTTCTGAGGTTACAATGAATTTCCTAAACAATACTATTGCACAGCCTTAACCATCATCTGTAAGTCAATTACGAAGCTAAATTTAATTTCATTTACCAAATTAGTACAGTATAGTATAACATAAATATTGTGTACCACTGAGGAGGGTCATTAACAAAAATTACATTTTGGTTCAATCATCACAATTTTTTCCTTGTTTGTCATTGTGTTGAATTTTTACATTAATTTGTTTTCTGCTTCAGCAGTACATAATCTAATTCAATAGAATTTTAAAACTTTATTCATAAATGTTTAAACATTTATAGTTGAGTTAGTTTACACAAAATTACATCATATTATTTACCTAAGAAAAAGTCATAGTAATTGCCTAGTCATATTAGGCAAGTCAGCATAGGCATAGTAGTCAGCCTAGTCGTTAGCAGTCTCCGTGGTGTAGTGGTAAGACACTCGCCTGGCGTTCCGCGAGCGCTATGTCATGGGTTCGTATCCTGGCCGGGGAGGATTTACTGGGCGCAATTCCTTAACTGTAGCCTCTGTTTAACGCAACAGTAAAATGTGTACTTGGATGAAAAAACGATTCTTCGCGGCAGGGGATCGTATTCCAGGGACCATAGGATTAAGGACTTGCCCGAAACGCTACGCGTACTAGTGGCTGTACAAGAATGTAACAACTCTTGTATATATCTAAAAAAAAAAAAAAAATATGTAAATCTACATATCCAATATTAAAAGCATTTATGTTTTATGTTCAATACTTACAGAGATTTTGAGTGGATAAGCTTGGGTCAGGATGAAGGATAGCTGGAATTGTGGCAGAGAGAGGCTGTGTTGTCGCTCCACACCCAATTGCCGTACATCCACGGATACTAAACCAATACTCAGTATTGGAAACCAATCCTCCTACCTAGATATGAAAATCGAGCATTGAATGAAATGAAACATAAATTTCTGAGTGAGCCCCAGTGGCTCCCTGATGCTATCTCACTTCAGGGGGCCACCACAGGTTTCCCTCAGAGAAGGTATCAAATGTTCATAATATGAATGAATAAATTACCATTTCAGAAAACAAAAATGATATCATTCTGTATATACTAAATAGGATCTTTATGACACAAATAGTACAAATGCATTACATAGACAGCTTGCAATAAATAACAACAGATCAACTTCTGCACAATTATTTTGTTTTTACCCTTCATTGCAATTTCACTTACAGGGAGTGAACCAAATGTATAAAATTTCTAATGTACATTCATACACACATCACTAATATAAAATATGACAAAAAAGTTTTGTACAGACTACAACACATCTTGAGCTTGAAGTCAAAGTGGCTTTGCCAGATGGCACATGCAAATCTCGCTTGCTTTTTGTGGGGGGTTATTAATTTGAATTTATATAAATTTTTATATTTATATCCTGTATTATTTGTACTAGGTACTAGGCCTACCGGGGACCACGATCCAGAACCTGGCCCCTTCAGAGAAGCACCAGGAGCAATGGACTATAGAAACCCCCATGTAGTTGGTAGCATTCTATGTCTGCCATTGACTGGGTCAGGCACCCAGAAAGGTAACCACCCTAAAACAAACCCCTATTCTGGTTAAAATATTGCTACTGAAAGCTGAACTAGTGGACAGAACTCCCTATATGAAAACGAGCAAATGAGCATGATGTTACCATGTCGCTGCGCCGCTCTCTGAGCAACCTCCCCCTCTCCCCGGTAGGGGAAAGGGGGAGCCCCCAGATCCCTACGCTGGCTATCCACCCTGCAGTTCTGTGGCTGATGTGAACTGGCAAGGTCGTGCGCCTCTGGCTCCTGTGTTTTCCAGTTCTATGCCTTGTGGTGTGGTCCTGTTTGCTAGGTGGTGTGCGAGCCAGGAGTAATTTCACAAGTACTTGGGCTGCACGTGCCTGGGGTTCTCTTCCCTAGGTGTCCTGTAAGTACTACCCTTGGGACTTGGGGTCAACTTCCACAAGTCACCTTGGGGTCTACCTCCACAGGGTCTTTTGCTGCTCGGTGATTGATTGCCCTTGGAGTCAGCTGTGGTGTTTCATGCACCATTGTTTGCCTCTGGGTAGGGGGTAGTTTTTGTCACTGGTTGGGGCGCAGGGTACTGTGCATCTAGTTATCACCTCTCATAGCGGCCGGCTGTGTCCCACCTGGACACATTGTCCTCTTGCGGGGTTTTGTTTGTTATTGTTTTCCTGCCTGGTGGGGAGTCATCTGGTCCATCTGAGGGGGGGGGGGGGGGGGAGGCGCGCCTTACGTTGGTTGCTGCATTGCCAGCTTCCTCTTCGAGCTTTCGAGATTTAGTGACTTGGCACCTACCCGAGCCCTCGCTTGATGGTCAGCCCTCACAGACGCGTCGTCTCTTGGCTGGGTGTAACACTGTAAAAGTGTTTGGTTTAGGCTAATACATACATAGAGTACATGAGTCACAGACAAGGATCGGAGAGGCGCCAGTTGTCTGCCTGAGATCTCACACCTCTAACCGTTAATGACCCCAAGTGACCTGAGGTCAGATCATGATAATTTCACCTTGCTTCCGCTAAGCGTATAATTGGAGCCGGGTAGCCTTCAAACATGCCGACGTTTAAGGAGTGGCTTGGTAGTGCCGGAGGCTATCTATTTGTGGGCGGAGTTAGCTACTAGGTTCCCCAATAAATACTCGGAGAACTATCGAGCATGGAGCATTAACAGACAGAGCAGCAGACGAGCCAGGAGAGCAGAGAGAAGACAGCCCTATCAGGGAGGCTGTCGGCCGGCAGGGCGGGAGTCTCTGTCAACTACAGACCCCCCCCCCTCTCTATCCAGCTATAGGCAGAGACACTTGGTGAGTTGAGCATTAAGGTGACTTGGTCGTGTTTACATATGTTGTGTGATGATCAGGGGCAGTCAAGTTGTAGGGTTCTCGAATTCTTGGATGATGACTCTCTTTAACATTTTAATTGGATTGCTTATATTATGATACTTAGTATGTGAAATACATGAACTTATTATTTAAATCGTCTTTGTTCCCTAGAGCTTTGAGTTGAGGTGAGAAAGCCTCGGTGGTTACTAGATTCAAGATATTAATGAGTACTTGTTTGGAGTTGATACATGGTACAGAGGGAACATACTAATAATGAACTCATGATAACATCTTTTGAGAATTTTGTGATACAGGCAAGTTCCATTCCTTGTCTTGTATGTAATGATCATGAATAGATGGTGGCAGCATTTCGTTTTTCTACTATCTACTCTTCTACTTCTACCATCTACTCTCCTACATCTACCTATCTACACCTCTCCCTCCACCCTTCTCCAAACTCTCACTTTCAACTAATGACCCTCCTCGCCCCTCCCACCTCTCTGCCTCTCACCCCAAACCCTCACTAATTACTTCACTATTCATTTCTTTCCTTTCGTTTTCTCTTATACGTTTGTGGCAATGATTCTGTATTCTAGAGTTCTCTCTAGAGTTTCGGGTAGCTGATCAAGTGACGGCGCCTTGTAGTCTTAGCACCTAGGTAGTCGAATACCTAGGTTACAAGGTGTTGAACGAGAGAGGCTGCCTTAGGAACTCTGGGAGTGCTCTAGAATAGTTAGCTAACTGGGGACGGGATAACGGACTAGAGAGAGCTGTTTCCCCCGGCCTCGTTAGATAACTGGGGGGTGGAATAATGGACAAGATAGAGCTATTTCCCCCACCCCCCGTTACAACCAGTGCTCACCAGGCCGGCCAGGGACGGTGGGGTACGTCTGACCCACAGCATGGTGCGGGAGTTCGCGGCAGTGTGGATGCCAATTCGGTTTGTTCAGGTCGCTCGCAGATCAATGATCAGGCTCCATTTGGACTGCTTCCCGGTGGTTCATTGCTTGAACCATGGGGGGTTTTATGCGGTCCTTGATTCTTTGGGGCTGGTCGCTTTGGGTGACTCGTCTGCCGAGTTCTTGGGGTTTGGCTGTCCTGGCTGTCCTGGCTGTTCACGTTCAAGGGGTGTCCAACGTCCCTGACAGACCGCCTTTTCATTCACCTCTCCACGGAATGGATGGGCAACACAGACTCGTTCAGTTGGCTCTGCCGGACGTACGAGCTCTCAGACGTGGACCTCTTTGCGTCGGCGGAGTCGAGGCACCTCCTGGTATAGGTGGCGCCCTTCATCGAATGCAAGAACGTTTGGGTCGATGCCTTCAGGCAGGACTGCTCGGGGTGGGGTTACCTATACCTTCAGGTCCTAGCTTGCTTGGAGACTTACCAAGGGAAAGTAGTCCCTCTGGCTCCTTGGTGGCTGGCCCAGCCTTGGTTTCAGGCGCTGCTTGCTCGATGACCGAACCCGGGGTCTTCCTGCGGCTCCGCCTCTTTCAGCAAATCGGGCCAGTCTATTACGGGGTTGGTTCGATCTCTCCTCCAATCTTCGCATCTGGTCCTTCTGACGTGGGTCTATCACCTTTTGAATGGTGAGCAGGAGGCTTCATTGATGGTGTCCCACCTGCATGCTTCGTCTCGGCGGCAGTATGAAGTTTCCTGGTAGTCCTTCCATTATTTCTTATCCCTTCATAGGTTAAATTCTGTCTCTAATAGTCCTTGTCCCTGTCCTGTCTTGTCCTTCCTTTCGTGGCTGTTTCAGGAACGTCATCTTATGTCGAATACTATCGCCTCGTATCGTGCAAGGTTGGCGGAGCCGCTGTAGCTTGCGTTCGGCATTGATGTTACTTCTGCGCCATTCTGCAAGCTGTCTCATGTGTTGTTTCACCTCCGGCCTGCTCATGAACTGCTTCAGCCATTCTGGTCATTGAACCGGGTACTCTCCTTTCTCTCTTCTCGGTTTGTGGTGGCCCCCTTCGCTTCAGGATTGTTTGGCGAAGGGTCTTTTCTTGTTGGCATTGGCCTCTGAGGGTCAGGTCAGGGAGCTTCATGCTCTCCTCTGGTGCAGGGATTTCTGCTCTTTTTTTGGTCCTGGTGGTAGGTTTGTTCCTTTGCAGCCATCTCCTCCTTTTCTGGCGAAGAATGAAACTGCTACTTTCTGGAGAGGGCCCCTGGGTTGTTGATGCTTGGTTGGTCAGGTCGGAAGTGCATCATGTGTTTCATGTACATTTAATCAAGCTCACCATGTTCTACAATATTGGCTTGAAGTCATCAGAAGATTATAACTGATAACAAAGAATAGATACATTGAATGACTTTTGTATACAGATTGTCATTTTTTGCCAGATGCTCTGAAAAGTATAACAAATGGAAAATCCCTAAAAAAGTCCAGTATTAGGGATGCTTGATTATAGAGATAACATTAATTAAAGATAGATACTCACAGTATCTGTGGCATCTTTTCCATCCACCTCTTGCACGTCCCACTTTGATAACGGTTTGCTTTTGTCTAAAGTAAACAGAATTTCGTACTTCTGTATACTCATAGCAGTGTCCTCGGGTATGCTCCACTTCAAGCGGATGGTGGATGCATCAGTGGGCTCATAGGTGAAGCCATCTGGAGCTGATGGCACTGGAAATATATGTTCACAAAAAAATCCTGATTAATGTAAATAATTACTTAAATTAATGAAAACAATAAAGTGTGATAACTACCATACATGTTGTACTGCCTAACTACGTATAATCTTGTTCTACAAACAACAGATTTGCCTTAAGCACTGCACTGCTCTGCATTAAAATATGACACCCCCATGGTGCACCGAAAATAAATTCTTTCCAAAACATTATTTTCTCTTCTTATATCGTTAAAATGCAGTCTCTAATCATGAAAAACTAACAAAAAAATATTGTATGTGACATACTTTAGCCGTAATAGAGCTAGGAAATTGAGCAAATTTTTTAACATTTCACATTAATTTCTACATGAATGTAGAGATGTTAATGAACTTATTTACAGCATACATTATACCTAAGCTAGAGCACGCAGGTGCGACTGAAGTATTCACATCTAAAAAAATATTCAGTACAGTACTATATTAACAAAATATAAAAGATATACAGCATGTAACAAAAGGAATTTATGAAATAACAAATTTAAACTATGACGAAAAACTAATAGGTTTGGATATTCCCAAATTAAAAGACAGAAGAAAAAGACGACATATAATAATCATCTGTACAGTTGAACTAAGATACGAGAAAACATACATGGAAGTGGTTTTTGAAACCAGAACCAACAGAAGCGGATGTATCAATTGTTAAGAAAACTACACCAGAAAAGGTGCACAAAGGATAATACAATTTACTTTTTTACCAAGAGAATAGTGGATGGTTGGAATAAACTCTAAGATAAAATTGTGTGTGTGTGTAAGTACAAAGTTCTAAAATTATTAAAAAACCAGCATTGAATGTAATGAAATGCCATTTTCTGGGTGAGACCTGGAGGCTTCCCGGAGCTTATCCAGGCCGATATGGAACTATTAGACTTTGGCATCGGTCAGTGTGAATGGCATTCTTAAGGGGGGCAAGGGCTCCAGATTTCCAAAAAAATGCATTAAATGATAACTAGTTCGATTTCAATCAAACTTTTTTGACTAGTTGTATATGAAAAGGGTTTCATCTGGTCCAAGTCTCAGCATCGTAGCATAAATAGGAAGGGAGAAAAAAAACCAGCGTTGAATGTAATGAAACGCCATTTTCTGGGTGAGTCCCGGAGGCTCCCCAGAGCTTTCCCAGGCTGATATGCTAATGTCAGACTTTGGCATCAGTTATGTGTATGGAGTTCTTAGGCCTACCGGGGACCACGGCCAGAACCGGGCCCCCTCAGAGAGGCAAGGGGAGCAATGGCCTATAGAAACCCCGTGTGGTTGGAAGCATTCTATGTCTGCCATCGACCAGAAGAGGCACCCAGAAAGGTAAGCGCCTCAAAACAAACCCCTATTCTGGTTAAAATTGCTACCAAAAGCCAAACTAGTGGATAGAACTCCCCAACAGAAAACAAGCAAACTAGTGTGACGTCACACGTAGCCGCAACGCTGTCTGCGCAGCTCCCCCCTCCCCGGGAGGGGGAAGGGGGAGCCCCAGACCCTCCACGCCAGGATGTCCACTAGCCAGGATGACTCCAGAACCACATAACGAACCCAGTATGGAGGCGAAACCCAAACCTGAAAGGAGCCGGATCCATTATAGAGGCATAATCCGGGTCGCACAGGAGGTAAGCCGAAATGGCCGCTCGCACCTCAGTAGGCAAGATGTGGGAAGCCAAAAACCTCCGGAAGAACAGAACCAATGAACCCGAAGAGACACGGAACCGAACCTCGGGAGGAGCCGAGCAAAACAACTCGAACGCAGAGGGGTCGAAAAGAAAACCCCACTTGTTGTAACAGTAAAACCTGCTCAGAGGGTAGGAAAACTCAGGCGGGGTCCAATGGGGCCCAAGTCAGCCCATCCCCGACCCCGGGATCTTCCATACCAGGACCCGGGGCCGAGTCGTCCTCCACTGCCCCAGCCTCACAAGAAAACGAGGCAGTCGGAAAGGAAGGAAGAAAGGAAAGGGGGGCCCACTGGTCAGACCCCGTCACCACGGCTGGAGGAACCGACTCGAATTCCTCTGTTGCCCCCCTGGTAGGTGCAACCCCAAAAACTGCCCGAGTCTCAGAACCTTCTAAACTCCGCCCCAACCTCGAAGCCCTCAGACGCTTTGGAGCCAGAAGCAGGGGGGGGGGGGGGAAAGAATGAACCCCAGCAGGGAAAGAACGAGGGGGGTGCGGACTGAACCAAGGCCGGAGCGACCAACACCCCCCAAGTCCGGGTCCCTATAAGCAGAACGGGGCAGCCTCGGGGCTTCTGGGGAAGCAATCAACCTAGCAACAAATCTCATAGGACTCAGGGTCGAAGGTGTCACCGACCCAACGGGCAGCATGACAGAGGCAAAAACAGTGAGAGTCACCCTGAGACATGGGAACAGAGCAACCCTTAAACTCACACAAGGTGAGAGGGGACCCAGGGGTTGCATCCATCGAATCCCCTTGTGTCCCCGCGGGGGTTTTCAGGGCCCTTACACTGGTATCGCTAAGGGTAAGCCCAGGCAGGGTACTGCGAACCGGCGCCCAAGTCTACCAATCAAACTGCTGAAAACTGAATCACCAGGATGTGTCCACTCATGGAGGCCCTAGCAGGGATTACCACTCAGAACACAGATATATAAGCCTAAGATATAGATAGGGGCAAAACAAAAGAAAAACCCCCCACAAGAGGACAACGTACCAAGGCGGAACAGAGCCGGCCTCTATAATAGGTGATAACTAGCTTTACAGTACCCCATATGCCCATATCAGTGTAAACTACCCCTTAAACTAAGGTAAACAAGGGAGGAGGAAACCCCCCAGCACATTCAGGGCGGTCAATCACCGAGCAGCAAAAGTCCAACAGAGGTAGACCCCAAGGTGACTTGTGGAAGATAAGCCCAAGCCCCATGGGCGGTACTTACAGGGCACTTAGGGAAGGGAACCCTAAGCGTATGCAGCCCCAATACCAGTGAAGATTACTCCCAGCTCATGCACCATCCTGAGGACAGCTCTAAACACAAGGCACAGCACTGAGACAAGGCACAGGACCTGGAGTCACACGACCAATCCTCAATCACATCAGCTGAGAACTGAAGGTGTGGGTAGCTGGCACGAGGAGTCTTGGGCTTCCCCCTTTCCCCCTCCCAGGGAGATGGAAGCTGCGCAGATGGCGGCGCGGCAAAGAGGTGACGTCATGCTTGTTCTGCTTGTTTTTCTTTGGGGAGTTCTGTCCACTCGTTTGACTTTCAACCAGAATAGGGGTTTGTTTTGGGATGCTTACATTTCTGGGTACCTGACCCGGTTGATGGCAGACATAGAATGCTCCAAATCACATGTGCAATTCTATAGGCCATTGCTCCTCATGCCTCTCTGAGAGGGCCAGGTTGTGGCTCATGGTCCACGGTAGGCCTAAGAACACCATTCACACTGACTGATGCCAAAGTCTAATAGTTCCATATCAGCCTGGATAAGCTCCGGGGAGCCGAAGGGGCTCCCCCCCAGAAAATTATACTGTACAAGTATATGGAAGACTGGACACCAGGAATACATGATCTTTTTTTATTATTACAAGAGGATAGCATTGTTATTGTGTCATATATTTTGTGGTTTATTATTTTTTTTTCAAATTTCCACTTGAAAATATAAACTATGAATACCATAGTATTTTGCACAATTAAATCACAATAATATGATAAATATATGAGAAAATATTGAGGCTTTTTGAAAACCTGGAGAGTCTAGGGAAGCAGGTTCCATCCAATTGTACAGCCTTAATATTTTCTCATAATAGTATTTGGCTTGCATATACTTGAAATACTTACAGTTTTCCATGGTAATAGCTTGCACTATGGGACTAAAGGGGCCGTATACTTTCTCAGACTTGTGTGCGCGTACACTGAATTCGTACGTGCTGAATGGTTTCAGGCCAGTAATGTCAATCACAGAGTTCTCACTGAAAATGTAAACATGAAAGAAATGTAAAAATTAAAGTAATTAAGCCATTTTATACTGAAGATTATATAAACAGCAATAAGACAATATATTGTGAGTAATAAGGCCAAATTATGGGTAGTTAAAAGTTCATGCTCTATATTCCTCTATCGTTTATATAATTGATTAATATAAATTGTGAAAAAGTATAGCTTGACTATAAAGAAGCTAAAACATAACCACATATAAGTGAAGAAAAAATGGTGAAAACAAATTCTCAAACTGAATCCTACATGAATAATTTGTGTGATTTGTCAAGGTGGTTTGCCATGAATATATTATTTATATAAACAAATTTAATATTCATATAAAGTACAGTTTGCTTTCAATATATACAAGCAATATTGTTATTTATTTGACAGGGTTAAACAACACCCTAGCTAGGAAGTGGGATGTTAAGATCTCACTCCCTCATCGTCACTGATACACGAGCACTGACTCGGTCTACCGTAGATGGTCTACTCGGTCTACTCGGATGGTCTGTGCCATCTCAGTCTCTCTCGTCTCTTCCAAGCACACTGTATTGGTAAATATTTGGCCCATGCTCTATGTGCTTTAAGACCATACAATTATTATGTACTTAGTACCCATACCTATTTCTACTTTCTTAAACCTTTAGCTATAACACCGTTACTTCAGTCCAGTCCCTATGGATCAAAATACAGTACAGCCTAAAACTAAACACAATGTATTTCAATTAATATTTTTCCAATTTCTACTAAGAAAAATACATATTTCCAGCTGTGCCATTGAAAATAAGGCACAAAAATTGACTGCTAAAGAAAGAAAATTATCAGAGTCCATTTTCTATTAGAATATATATATATATATATGGTCCAAGTACTGAAATGTCAAACTAAGCTGTGTGTGTGCTAAAGACATATAATATCACTCTAAGTTTAACCATATTCGAAAAACAAAAAATTGGGGTGACGAAGGTTGAGGGACTTTTTTGGTTTCTCAATTTATTACATTTCTAATAAAAGAAATTCAGCATTTTTGAGTGCTGTTAGTTCTTCCTGTTGTCGATGCCATTCACTTGTTGGATGCGGGTCATCCTCTCATAAATGTAAAAACAAAAACAGAAGTGCTGCAGTCAAAGGATTAACACAAATGTGAAAGCAGCAATTTATGCACATTGGTGCATAATTCTATCTAATGCATGTAATCAACGGACACATTTCAAAGCCCAAGGGTTAACAATGAAAATATATTTTTTCCTTGTACAACTGGGCAGTTGACAGAATCATCTCTCTCATACCAAAGGAACTGAATCAGTGCCTCATACCATTCCCTGCACTAACGCCATTATAGAATCCTTCATTTACTAAACGCAAAATATAATCAAACCTGCACGCTTATGTTGTAACCTAAAACACAGTGAGTATTGTGAATTAATTTGTCAAAGAAATGAGAACACAAGGCATCAACTGAAAGACAATCAGGAAAGTTGAATAAAATTTTGACGAGTGACAGAAATTTAAATAAAATAAGTGTAATAATCTATTACCTGCAAACTAATGTTGCCTTCGCTGTATTCTGTGAAAGGACAACTTGCCGGTATTTAACAGTGTAGTAGTTCGCCCCTTCCTGTCCTTCCATCAATTTCCATGACAAGTGGATGCTAGTCTGTGATCGAGGTTCAGCTTCCAACTGAAATTTTATGTATGCTGTAGTTAGAGAAAATAAAAAAGAACACCAATTTAGAGAAGAAAGGCAATGAATCAGAATGTGCCTTTTGTTCCATCATGCGTGATCTATTCTATAACTGAGTACAACAAAAATATCAATCCATATAAGAAGTAATAATTGATTTACGAAGATAAAGATAATACATTTAATGTAATTTTCTACATTTTATAAATGCTTCATAGTTATGCAGAAAATCTTTGGAGCAGGGTGTGGATTTAAACTTGCATCCTGGCTCATCCCAGATCCACACATTACTGACTAAACCAACTAGATTTTACACACTGCTCCAAAGATGTGATTTCATTGTGCATAGCTATGAAATTTGACCCTCCAAACTTATTGCCCCTATCTTCTTAGATTTGTGAGCTATTCTATTTGGACGATCCTTAAGGGATGACCAGAGAACAGACTCATGAGAGTGTAACATTATGCACCAACATGTGAGGAATCTTCTCAACTGTATCACTTGGGTCATACTGTGCTGGAGAAAAGCTCAATCCGGCCCAGAGTTACTACGTAACTCAACTCAAACATCCAATGCCTCTCCAAGCCCTAATTGGCAGTGCAGGGGGAAAACTATCCATACATTAAATGAAACTCAAATTGGATGCTATTGCCAACAGCATTCATATTGAGGTGCTTAAATAATGGAATTTAAGCACCTCAACTTGTACACATTCTTAAACTACAAATTTGTATTTACCGAGTATTTTGTACTTTCTGAATTTTTTGTCATCTAATTTCTTGCATTTCTTTGTTAAAATGTTTGTGCATATCCCTTATGCTCCTGCTTCCTTTTTAGTGTTGGTCCCATTGATGTTAATTACTATATTACTCTATATTCTCATATGGTCCAAACAAAGAGTTATAAGAAAGAGTCCAGTTGCTTTTCTAAACTACACCTTGTTTTTCCATTCTGTTATTAATGAAAATAAACTACTGTACTATTGCTACAACTACTGACTCCATAGTGTAATAGTCTATGACTGTCATACTTAAATGTTACCTCTTTTGCATTTATTTGTTATTTTCCATGACCGTTCTCATTTTATGAGCTTACTTTTCCTTTAGTATTAAGTGTTTTACCCCCTCAAACATTTGGTTAAATTTTGTTGTCTATTTATTTTATGTTTTGGCCGAAACGCTTTGCGTAATTGTGGCTTCATAGATTGTGTCACTTCTTTCCCCCTTCAATTATACATTACTCCTATGTTCTTTGTACACACATTCTTTTGAAAAAAAATTGAACTGAACTGAATTAGGAAATCTAACCTCTCTTCGTAGGTCAACTGATTTCGGGGATCTATTTTGCTGCATGTTTTTTAAACTCCTACCTTAACGAAATCCTTTTATTGATTGTACTTTAAACCTGCTCATAGTATATTATTTATGGTGAAAAACAAAAAAATATTGCAGTACAATTTTAAAGTCTACTTGATTTTCTTTACCCTTACATTGGCATTTCTTCCAATGCTGGCATTTAATTCTTTGCTTATTGCCTTACCCTAGCCTGGACCTTTGCCTTTTCTTGCGTCTTTCCTCAAACTTTTCTACTTGCTCATAAACTGGCTTCACTGACAGGGTATCAAACAAACATGTGGACTCTGGCGTGAATTTCAAGCGTTACTTTGTGTGTGTTAAAAGGCCCTAAAGATACTTGAAATATCTGGAAGAGGTAATACGTAGTCTAATTCCCTCAAGGAATTAGTTCCTACATAAAACAAGGTCGCATGAAGAATAAAAAATGAACTTAAAATTGCTACATAGCACAATGGTAATCATTCCATTTATTTTGAATTTTAATTGGTTTTATACAATGAAAAGAAATTAATATTAGTACCATCAATAATATAAATCATTACCTGATAAATGCTCCAAGTTGTGTTTGGAGGGAGCGTGGTGTTGGGACTCGGAGGGAATGTTTGAACCATGTGTTCCGTTGGTGCGCCATCGCCATCTGCGCTGAATGCCTTGACCTGTACATCATACCAGTCAGCCTCTGCCAAGAAACAGTCATTATTGTATACATATAGATTATAAAACAATGCAATATGAACTTGTATTTCAGTTTGTATTTTTTTTTTCAAGAAAGTTCTATAATTTAACTTTCTTTAAAAAGTTAAAGAAATTCTATACGGTATCAATAAATGTACGTGAAGTGCTTATTTAAAATTAACTATTATACAAAAGGTTTTGCATCTATAATATATACACACATGGGTTGCAATAACATCATATTATCATGAAAGTAAAGCAATATGACAGTGAATAAGTGAAAGAACGAAAGTTTGGAAAGAAGTGCGATAGGTTCACTAGTTGGGATGTAACTGTAATTTATATATACATATGATAGCTCATCCTCCTGTTTTGGTAGTAATTATAGTAACGATAAGGCCCATAGTATATATACCAATGTACAACGAAATTAGAAAGTAGAAATCAACACTATTGAGTTAGACAAACTGGAAAAATATTTTCTACTTATGTTGTCGGAAAAATTTACACTATTTACTAACATTTAATACACTAGGCAGATAATCTTGCTGCTGGATTGTAATAACAAATTAACTCATAGAAAATGAGGCACAGTGGAATTTTCCTCTGAAGAAAATGAGGATATAATTGCCATATGTCGCCATTTAGAACATCAAAAGTCTCGCTGGGGTAAATCTAGCTCCAATAATTTCCAAATTCGTAAAGTCAATATTGACTTATTAACTACCATAATATTAGATTTAGGAATGCCGGTTAGCACACGAGATGAGACACAAAACAAGGTAATTATTATTAACCTCATCTAATAAATCATTACAATATTTTCCCTGATATAGCTGTCATATTAAGGATTACTGCTATTATTGTGAGTGCCCTTTGACAGGTATAATTGAAGAGGAAGAAGTAATAATAATTACTTGACACAACCAGTACATGTGATGAAAGCAGTTTCACCCCAGAGAGTAGTATTTGTCTGCATTTATCCATGTTCCTATCTGATTGTTTAAGCCATATAACAACTGTACAGATAAGACTTCGCCAGTATTAACCAAGATCTTGTAGTTGTAATTTAACATCTAGTAATATTGTAGTGAATGTCTACCTACAGGTATTTATAATTTGATTGCTAGACTATATAAATAAATAATAAACCCCCCAGAATGTGAAGGAAAGCAATTTGTGGGAAATTTTAAATCATACAGTCCACTTTAATTAACCACTTAACTGCACCAACCAAATATACTTGGTTGGCGGGAAACTGCACCAACCAAGAAAACTCTTTTTTTTTATTTTTACTTCTTTTTTATTTCTACTTCATCTACTTTTATTTTTACATAGACATGTTCAGGGAAGGGAATTTATCATTTTACGAAGAAAAAAATTTTGGGGGGGAACACTTTATTTCATGCGCACAGGGGGAATTTCACAATAAACTCGGTGCAGTACGGTGGTTAAACATCATACAGTTTGCTATTGAAATATCTAAAGTAACGTAAAATATAAATTATTACATAAATTAATATAAATTAACTAAATGTAAATCCCACTTGTCATTTTCCCCACATACGTTGCAAAGACAAACTAATCTAACCTAACTTAAACTTCCTAGGATTGTAAAAATCTCCTGTTCCTTGTGCTCCTATGACAGGGGGGCCAAGTTCTGGCTCTGGTCTCTACTAAGCAATATGGTATCTTAGGGCTGATGTGACCCATGTGCTTAGATACCTCAGCAAGCTAGCTACATAGAACCACCGAGGCTCAAATGGAAAAAGGCATTTCATTACATTCAACACTGGTTTTATTCCGTATCTCACCTGGGTGTTCTCAAGTATTAATACATTACCTTGTTTCATTGGTTCACTCAATTAATAAGGAAACAGTCTCATGTCCTATGTATGTAAATATGTGATCACATTGTACTGAATGGGGTGAGAATAGCTTGAGCTACCTCATCCCTTCATGAGCATTTATATCACAATAAACCTATTTCAATTTGAAGTCTCATGTCATTGTAGGAATTCAGAAAGTTATACATAATTGTTATACAGGAAAGATATGCCCTCAGTGAATAAATTAATAAACAGGTAACCATACATTTTTGTATGTGAATATATGTGTAAAAACTCGAATGCAAAACAGGGTCTTCTGATAAAAAATATTAATAATACAAATGAACGGAAATTGGAAATTATATATTTACCTAAACCCATGATGGTATATGAAGTCTCAGAAGGAAGGAGTCTGATTGGGCTTGTCCATGGCCTGCCCTGCCGCCGATACTTTAACACGTACCCTTCCAGTTCAGCTGTATTCTCAGGTGGAAGTTTCCAGTCAATCTGTAATGATATTTTAAATATCTTACAGCCATAAGCATCATCTAAATGTTTACACATTTATTTGGTGAAATTACAGAAGAAGAGAGTAAAAGTTCTTCTATAGCATCAAAAGTTCTTCAACAGCATCAAAGTCCCACAAGTAAACATATGAATCTGCAAATATGCACTGACAACATAGCAAGTCGATTTACTATTTCTGTTCTTTATTATATACTTAAGTGCTCAGCCTGTGGGCAACTGTGGAAAGCTTCTTGGACCAAAGTAAAACAGGTTCAGGTAGAGTGGTAGAATTGAGGCGTGCTGTTTACAATACTGTTCATTTTGTGAGTATAAGCATAGATGCCACACCTGTGATAGGTAAAAACCCATGCTTTCTTTTTTTAAAAAACAGCACCATCTGTTGCTCGTAAGAGCAACACACGCTATACTATATATGTTACGATTTTATTTCAGTGTTTCTGATTGCACTGATAAATTGAATTTTCATAGATTTCGATTTATTTTCATTTTGATTTAATTACTGTGTGACAGTACATTGGAATTGAGCTGTGTTGTTTACCATACCGTTCATTTTGTGAGTAAAGTTTATTTTTTTATTTTTTCATTGTTTTTATTTCGTTTTTTTTAACTGTTCATATTTTTCAGTGATGGGAACATCAGATCATATGACATTCCCAATTTTCTGATGGGAACATCAGATCATTTCGGAATGAAGGAGTGGGGAATGGTGGGGAGGACGAGGGGACGGGAGTGGGGGATGGTGGGTACGAGGGGACAGGGGGAATGGAGAATGGTGGGGAGGAAGAGAGGACAGGGAAGTGGGGGGGAATGGAAATGAGGACGAAGGGGATGGGGGAGTGGGAGATAATGGGGAAGATGAGGGGGCGGTGGAGTGGGGTATGGTGGAGAGGACGAGGGGACGGGGAGGAGGGAATGGTGGAGAGGATGAGGGGATGGGGGAGTGTGGAATGGTTGGGAGGACGAGGTAAGGGGCGAATGGTGGGGAGGACTGGGGGACAGGGGAAAGTTGCTGTGGCCGGGTACAGCTAGTAATAAATACTACAAATCATTCCCAATTCCTAGAGGTACAGAGAGTTGCTACAAGACCAGTACCAGAGGAAAGAGTGATGAGTTCTGAGGACAAATTAAGAGAACTCAATCTAGCCAAACTAGAAAAAGGATCAGAGGTGATATAATCACAAGGAATAAGATAATGAGAGGAATAAATGGAATGATCAAAGGTAGTCCTTTTCAGAAGAGTTGGAAACTGGAAACCTAAATGTGGCAGGGAAATGTAAGTGAATACTAATAATCAGTATTAGTGGTAAATAAACAGAACATGCTTGAAGCAGAAATTGTGGAAGCTTTCTTGGCTCACAGTTGAAGAGCAAGAATGACAGCATTAAAATACTGAGAAGTGAAAAAGTATCAGGAAAAATAGCTTTCCATAGACTCAGTTAGGTGAGCCGAGTCAGATAGGTATACACACACACACACACACACGCAATCTACAGAATAAACAAGAACTGCAGGAAGTTCTCTGTATTACCTTTATTGCAAGCTTCTTTGAGTCATCTTCAGAGGTTTCGTTTATCACCTTCAGGGTAACAACTGGTGGCAGAGGAATATTTTTCTGACTGCGACTGGGCATTTTTTGGCGTATCCATGGCAAATCATTTTTTGTTGGATATCCAACCTTTGTGCCTGCTAAAACTTGTACTTCATACTTCTTACCAGGATGAAGGTCAGGGATCTCAAATTCATGGACATCAGCAGATACCTATAATTGATTGCAAATTAAGATAAATATGAAATTACAGAGAAAAAATCATTATAAGAAAATTACATCCTCACCAAATGCACACACTTATAACTTAAATGTTATAAAGCCATATATAAAAATATATATTATATATTACATATATATATATAAAACCCGAAGCTGGTACAAAATATGTTGACCAGACCACACACTAGAAAGTGAAGGGACGCTTCCTGGACCATTCTCAAGTCGATTGTGAGAATGGTCACAATCGACTTGAGAATGGTCCAGAAAGGACCGAAACGTCGTCGTCCCTTCACTTTCTAGTGTGTGGTCTGGTCAACATACTTCAGCCACATTATTGTGACTCATCGCCTGCATATGGTACAAAATAGTTGATAGAAGCAAGTCCTTAATAATTTTTGGTTGCAAAGAAAAGGAAATAACATCTGGGTCAGAAAGAGCCACAGAAGCAAAATTAGTAGACAAAATTGTTGGTCTAGTGGAAGGCCTTACAACTAAAGATAATGTCTGACTATAGAATTATGAGATACAAAAAAAATGAAAAGATCAACCCTTAAGTATTACCCTATATGGAGCTAAATGGATGGAAGAAGTACTGTACTAATGAAACAAAGCTGCCCAAAAAACATCAGAAAGTTCACTTTTGCAAACATAGATGTAGATAGGGTAGATGGCTGGAACAAGTTAAGTGAGAAGGTGATGGAGGCCAAAACCCTCAGTAGTTTCAAAGTCATATGATAAAGAGTACTAGGAAAATAGGACAACACGAGCATAGCTCTCATCCTCTAACTACCATTAGGTAATTACACACATCTTGTCGCTACTATGTAGTGTGCTTAGAAAAATACCTCAATCACATGGTAGTAGTGATGGTTGAGTTTTCTCCAATGAATTTTGTAACCAATAATGGTTCCTCTGGCTTGTTCTGGAGGAAGTTTACCCCAGGTGACTAGCAGCACTGTTGGTGATTTCGGAGTCAGTAGTACACTTGGGGCCCCTGAAGGAACTGCAAAATCAAAATAATATCATTGTATGTTCACAAACGATAAAATTTCAATAAAAGGCATCCTCTGAGCAGACAGAAAATAAATTCTGATGCAACATCATGACTGTTCAGATATTTACATAAGTTAGAAATATATATACACTTTTGATATAACTACTGTAATGTAAAATCAAAGATAGTGTAGAATTTAAATGTCCTTAACTTGTAGCACAATGATAAGTATAGATGGGTCAAACCAATAGGTTCCAGGATCGAATTCCCACAGCAGGACAGAAATGTTTGGGTGCAGTTTCCTTTTACCTCATGCCTCTGTTCACCTAGCAGTAAATGGGTACCTGGGAGTTATGTTGTGGGTTGCACCCTGAAGATGATTAGTAGTTAGACTAGGGTGAGAACCTCGATAAGCCATACCTGGAAAGTGTTTTGGAGTTCTTCTACTCCCTGAGCCCAGCCTGAGGCCAGCCTCAACTTGTGATAACTTGGTCCAACAGGCTGTTGCTTAGAGCTGCCCACAGGCCCACAGATTTGCTACAGCCTGGTTGTTCCGGTACTTCTTGCAAGAATCTGTTCAATTGCCTCTTGAATACATCACCTTCGTTCCGGCAATACGGTATTTCTAATGCCCGCTGAAATGGTGTTGAACAGCCACGGACCCCTGATCCATGGCTGTTCAACACCATAGGCACTCTCTGAATGTGCCTATGGCACCTCTACTCCTCAATGGTTCTATTCTCTATTTCCTTCTGTATCTTTCACTCCAGTATGTTGTTATTCTACTGTGCATATTTGGGACCTGGCCCTCCAGTATCTTACATGTACATATTATATTGATACCTTTCTCATCTCTTTTCCAGAGAGTACATTTTGAGAGCTTTGAGACAGTCCCAATAATTCAAATGTTTTATCGTTTCTATGCATGCCATATATGTTCTCAGCACTCCATCTAATTCAGAGATCTCTCTTGTTCCGAAAGGATAACAGGAGAGATCTGTTATCTTTAAACAACAGATCTCTTTAGATTTATCTGTTATCTGTTATCTTGAGATCTATTGGAAAGGGGAAGTGAGTACCGAGTAATACTCAACATGGGACAGCACCAGTGAGTAAATAGTGTTAGCATTGCTGTTGGGTCCCTGGATTTGGACGTTCGCATAAGCCATCCTATCATTTTTCTGGCCCCACTATATTTGCTCGGTTCACTAAATGTCAGGTCATCTGACATCACAATTCCCAAATCTTTTACATGTTGCTTTCCTTCTAAGAGTAGGTCTGATTGTGTCCTGTACCCTGAGTTTCGTTTAACTTCCTTGTTTACACCTGTCCCCAACTAAGAGAAACAATATATATTTTGTAATACAAGGTACTGTACTTACCATCCTCAGCTGTGCTGAACACCAGTTTCTCTGATACATCTGATGCAAAATTGTTGTAGGCTCTCACAAAGGCTGTATACATGGTGTTGGGTTTCAAAGATTCCAACAAATGAGAAGCATTCTGGGAAACTGCCTGCCGTTCAATTCCACTACCCTCTGAAATTAATCGTTAGTTATTTATATTTGAAATATAGTATAAAGACAATGTGTCTCGATATCATTAACTGGAAACAGAGGGGGTTCCCCCAGATTTCCATTATAATTAATGTAATAATTGTAAAAGATTCTGTAGATGCTAAGCGTAGAAAGAAAGACTTTGTAGATACAGTATTGTAGTGTGTGGCATGCCTGCATATTTTTTATTTTTTTTTGGCAGGTGTCAAGGATGCCTCAACCTTGAAGACACATCCCAATTTTGATTTCAGAAATTAAAAAATAATAAAAAGACTAACAAATTGAATTTGATTGCATCCTACTATTTTAACTAAGTATAATTTATACACAATATCCAGAGGTCATTAACAGGCGCTCAGATTACTGTCTTGCATAGACAACCTTCCTTTACAGTTAGGATAGGTCTATGGAAGATGTAACCTTTTGCCTAAAGTACATAGTAAATTTTTTAAACTTATTTCAGGAAAAAAATGTCATCTTTAATGCCAAGAAATATGATAACTGTGATGTATGACTTGCCAATTCCAATTACCTGTGTAATGTGTGATTTGTAAATTTGGTTACTTCTTGCAGGCTGGAAACATTATACAAGAAATTGACTTATCCTCATCTAATGACTTCACAAGGGTACGTGCTAAGAACCTGTTTCTGACCTGCTCTCATATATTGTTATGCACTTTTATTGAGTGTGATTCGTTTTAGAGTTTTTGTTGCTGATCATGAATAGAAACATTTAAAACTAAATTTCTTTAGTATTCTTTTGCTCGACTGTTACTCAAAGTGAATAATTAATATCTGATCACCAGTAATTTTTATCACCCTATTCATATCTATTCATGTTTAGCAGTCTCTGTGGTGTAGTGGTAAGACACTCGCCTGGCGTTTCGCGAGCGCTATGTCGTGGGTTCGTATCCTGGCCGGGGAGGATTTACTGGGCGCAATTCCTTAACTGTAGCCTCTGTTTAACGCAACAGTAAAATGTGTACTTGGATGAAAAAACGATTCTTCGCAGCAGGGGATCGTATTCCAGGGACCATAGGATTAAGGACTTGCCCGAAACGCTACGCGTACTAGTGGCTGTACAAGAATGTAACAACTCTTGTATATATCAAAAAAAAAAAAAAAAAAAAAAAAAAAAAAAAAAAAAAAAAAAAATAATATGCTATGATATGTACATAAAACTATGCATACTGACACTGATATACAAGCTTTATGAGAGTGTTTTATTGTCTAACTTTTTACTTTTGTCAAAAATTTGTCCACCTTTCATTCTATATTCTTGTTTTTTAACACTGTACAACATATTATTGGCTTCTTGAAGGCATGAGGTAGTGAGTACACATACTTGCCTCCAAGTACCCGAGAAACTCTTTGAGATATCTGAACAGTTCTCCACAGCAACAGTGCCTTGTATGTTGTCCTGCCTGACTCTTAGATATCCAATCTATATGACAGCAGTATCTTCATTTGCACAAAACACTCCACTCAGAAATGCCATCTTCACATATACTCAAAGCTTATTTACGAGATAATAAAAATAGGCACAAAACCCTATTTCTTCATTGCAAGCGTCCCTTTTAGATGTTATCCAACATAAAAAGCATATTGATAATATACAGTATCTGGGACAAATGTCATAACTATCGTCAGAACAGGAGAATGCCAAGCAGAACAAATTGGAAACTCCATTGCCAGCAAGCTTAATGACGCAGCAGGAATCAAAGTAAAAGTAGAAGCCCTGGGTACATAAATCTATCAAAATCTTTACATGACATTACACATGCTGTCTATGTTCAAATTACCAATCAAAAATACTTAAAAGATTTCCTGACATGAAACCCCAATCAAATAATGTAACAACTGATAATTTCTTGAAATATACATGTCCATTGTATTTCTTGTAAACAGAACCAAGCTTAACTGAGGCTTGTGAGTTAAGTTGAGAATATTGAATAGTTATCAGTTGAAATTTACACAAATCAATGCAAACCAAATATATATGGCATATGTCAATGCCCATTACATCCTTTTTATTTTTTATTTTTTTATTTAAAGGTGTATATACTTCATTCCATATCAAGATAACTATAGTATTTCTCACCTGACTGAGAATAGTGAATTGAATAGGCTTTGATCTTGTCACTGGGAGGATAAACTGGATCCCAAGTGAGGAGGACCGAGGTAGAAGAGAGAACCACATAGTGAAGGTTCTGAGGTGGGTGTGGGTGGTTGTTGGACGAGTTAATAACCATGGGGGCCCAACTTGAGCTGTGGGAAGAAATTAAGAGCATGTAAAGCACAAAAACAACAGTCATCCACTCTCATTCCCAAAATCAAGAAAGTCAGATAAATATAGATTGTGAGGCAAATCTCTTGAACCTAATTTCATGAGAACAAATCCCTGTGCTAGATTTCAAATCTATTACAGTACAGTACTTTTGAACAAATTATGACATAAGTAAGACCACTAAATGGTGGTAGTAGCAACTTGCAGGTGACACCAATACCACTGGCAGCTCATTTCTTGACTAATACTTGGTGCACATATACCTGGAGTATACCTGGAGTGGGCTCTGAGGCTTATCAGGTGATAACTTGATCTTAAAGGTTGTTGTTTGGAATGGCTCACAGGCCCACATATCTGTTGCAACACAGTTGGTTGCAATGGATACATGGGCCTGCAAGGCATAATAAAACCATAAGCATGGATAAATCATCTATACAAAGATAAACTGCTAAAAGGAAAACTAGTCAAAACATATCTTTTGCAGAGCTATGTGCCAGCCTAGAGGGGACAAGGTCAAAGGAGCCTAGTGCAGGAATAGTCCCAGTGAACCATAATGGCTCTGGCAAAGGGAGTATACAAGGGGGCTTAGCTCAAAAAGCCTTAATGCTGCAGCAAGCAAGCACAACTTAGATACAGTATTTACCGATACTGAGATAAATACAGTACTGTATATACCTATACAGAGCAAATCAAAATAGTTTGTCTGTCAATCATCAACCTGAAAATGAGTGTACGAAGCAGAAAATAGTCACTATTAAAATTCTGATCCAGTAATTCATAGTTGGCCATACTTACGCATATCCCGCATCGTTGATAGCGAGGCACTGGTACATTCCTGTGTCAGATGTGATTGAGTTGGTGAATACGAGCTGGTTTGAGGTCGTTTGAATGGTGCCCCCCTTAATGTTAACAGGCTGTCCATTTTTGTACCATATGACGCGGGGAATGGGATGACCCATTACTGAGCAGTTGAGGCGGGAAGTCTTTGCTAATAATGTATCTAAGGGCTTTGGAGGATCAACGATTTCTGGTGGGACCAATACATCTAGTTCTATTTCCTGTAAAACCAAAATATATAAAATTTTATACTTTGCATGAAATAAGTAATACCCAAACATATCAATAAACATCATTAAAATTAATTATTATCTCGCATACAGAATACCAAATTAGTTGTCAAGAAAATGATTGCATATTATTAAGTAAAATAATTTTTCTACTTAATATGAGAAGAAAAGTCAAGTGAACAAATATGTTGTTGCCTTTCTTATTTGCTGACTAAACTACAAAAAAAAAAAAATCACTGCTGTTGTACTGAAAATGAAGCAAACATCAATATTCAAGTCAACTAGAATGAAATTAAGACCAATTAATCATAAAGAGTAATAAAGAACATCCTTCTTCCCTTCAAGTGATTTAAACCAAATATCGGCGATTTAGGCAATACAATATTTTACTGTTTTCCAACGGTTTTAAGAATTTTCAGTTTATTTTTAATAATATTCTCTTGGTAAGCAGCTGAGCTTAATCAAACATCAGAACTAGAAAAGTGCAATGTTACTTTGAATACTGGAGGAACGTGTTTGCCAAAGTCCATAGGAATGGGGCAGCCATAAAGTCAACTTCCTTTTGAAGAAGCTATACTTTACAAAGTAAAGAGCAAGTTTTGAATAATTTGTAGTAGATTTATAGGCAACATGATTATGCTTAGCTTTGGGAAGGAGCTGGGTAAGATAAGACACATTGTTCAACAAACAAACAAAAAATTGTGCAAGACAAATCTAAACAGAAAGGTAATTATAAGAAGAAAATGCTAAGCGAATATAACCATGTGTATAGCACTCTGGAGGGATATGAGGACAGAGTGAAGGAATGCTGTCCACCTACCTTTGCTCTACTGCGAGTTTAAGTGGATGGACAAATAAATTATGGCTTAAAATAATTAAATACAGCTTTATTCAAATTACTTTCCGGAACCTCTCACTATCCCATTAATCAAGATATTAAGACATGGTGGTATCACACATCCATGTCTCACTGCAAACCAATCATTCACAACTTTTATAACTCTCACACTTGCCTTACTGTCTCAGCTCCACAAATCATTACTACTACCAAAAATTTCCCTTCTTTTCTGCATACAACATAATACTCTCTAAGCAATTCACAGAAAAACTCTTCACTGTGCCAAACAACTTCTCTTCAATTCCACACACTCAAAGTTGAAAGACCATTTCTTTCAACTTTATCATTGGCTCTCCAGATTCATACACAGTTAACACTTTTCTTGCTTTCACCCAATACTTTTTCTGCTACCTTCTTGATGGACCAAAAATTCTCACTTGAATTTGATTTCTCATGTGTGTCGGGTTATTTGCTTCAGCCTTGTAAGTGTCATTTATTCTCTTCACCCGGTACTGTGAAACTGACCCACACCCGCACAGATTTGCTCCTACATAATGCCTCCCTTTTCACAATTTTTCATCATTTTAGTTTTATAAGCTATGCTCTACTATAAAAACTGCCACCCATATAATTAGCATTTAAAGAGACTTTTAAATATAAACAAAATACATATACTGTTGTACAGAATCATATTCAAATTTATTTAATGCTCGACTAAACACTGAAAATCAAATCAAGGAAGCATTTAATATTAAAGAGGAAATCATACATTATTGTACTTACAATAAGATTAATGAAATTTTAAGAGGAACATTAATGGTACCTGAGAAACAGTGGCTTCTCTCTGGGTGGCAGGGTTTACAGACTTGGCGGTGCAGGCGTAGCGGCCGGCACTCATGTTCTGCACACTTGACACCACTAACGTTCCCTGACCTATTATCAAAATGCCTTTTGTTCCATTTTTTATGTCCTCCCAGCCCTTAGTTTCACTTTCATTCACTGTAAATATATAAGAGTAGCTAATTAAAGGTAAGTCAAATTTCCTTCAAAATTAGGTTTCACAAATTTTAAGCTTATGGATTAATAGATATGTTTAGTTCAATATATATATTTTTCTTAGTTTGAAACAAAACTAGCTTAGAAACCTGAAGATGCCTATTATGCATTAACTCACATAGGTTAAAACTAGGCCTAAATAAATTGGCAATTAATAAACCAAATATAAAGTAACTGGTGCTTTTAAATGTATACACATTTTCACTATTCCTTATTATTATTTAAGTATATGGTTTTCCCTAAAATACATCTTATGTTAGATTTTACAAAACAGTTTTTATTACGCACTATTTAACTCTTTGTTTTAGTCGTTATCCAGATACCATTAGTCTTTCAGTACCGTCCTGTTTTCCATACAGTAAATTACTGTACTTTTAATGCACGTTTTGCACCGCTTCTTTCATTTGGTAAATTTTTGCATTCTTCTGTGCCTCTTGTGTACTCTCACGGAAACCTTTCAGTGTGTAGATTTGGAGTCAGTCATACTGATATTCTCTTGGCACAGATTAGGAATATTGTTTTAGGAATTACCAATAGTTAATTGGGAACACCTAAAAGCATGGAGCTTTGAATGTCTTCTGCCCATTTTCCAGGATAAACTATCTCTAAATGGTGTTGTGGGTATAAACTCAAGATTCCCCACAGTGTTGAGGTGGAGTGCGTTCACCCAGCACCTCACCAACACCTCTGGCTGGGTTGGAGTCTTCAAGAGGGAGGGTTTAGTGGGAACTAATTCTCAAGTGTTTGCCCCTGTTCACCCAGCAGTAAGTGGGGGAACTGATTATAAACCAACTGGCTCATTATGTCCCAGGAAATAAGTAGTAGGGTAACTATGGAATGGAGAAGCTCTAAGCCTACTAACACCTCATTAGTCATCTGCTCTTTTTCCCACCTATGTAGAAAACAATTGAAGTGTGCTTTCAAAATTATCACTCCTGGCCACCTCTTAATCTAAAAGTTCTAATTATCCAGCTCATTATTCTTCCTTTAGTTGAAATAATTACTCAATTGTGCTCCTGAATGTGAGACTTTACAAAGAATAAAATCATTTGAGTACAAGAGAAAAAAATAAAATTAGTTTTGTCAATGACTTTCCTATACCGGTATACCCCTCTGTCATGAGGTTATAGGCAGGTGTTATACTACCAGTAATGTTCATGAGCTACTCACCTGGGTATACTTGTCCCTTCACCATTCAACAATGATGAATCACTATGATATCTAATGATAATACATACTACAGGCCTATTTTGTATTCCCTTAACTATATTGCTACCATTTTCATTTCTCCGGACAGAAAATGTACCTTACTCACAATCAAGATTGTAGCATTTAAGAATGAAAAGATGAAATATGATACCACAACACATAATTATGTCAAACTTACATTTTCGTTGCCAAGAGATTGTGGGGAGTGGCACGCCTGTTGCAAGACACTCAATGATTGCATCTTCTCCCTGTATAACTCTGAGTGGTTCTTTTGGGGAGAGAAAGGGGAAGGGTTTGTTGGGGGAGAGGAAGGTGGGAGGTTTGTAGCTGTCTTCCTCTTCCCTATCAAGAACTGTTACAGAAATGGCGCTGCTGCGGCGTTCCTTTCCTGCAACAGAGTTTGTCGCCAGGCACCTGGATGTTGATAGAATTTTGTTTATTATGTCATTAACTATGCATGGTGGTCATCATGGGAATAATTTATACACACATCAAATTACCCTCTTATATTTCACTGAAGAACTGTCAATAATGGTATCAAATTAAAAAGTTATCTTTTTGCATGTATGGCTTATATATGGTACAACAAACAGCACTTGCCTGTAAATGCCACTGTCAGTCCTCTGTACTTCAGTTATATGAAGAACTCCTGAGAAAGGGGTTGTGTACCTAGAAGATAAACAATTAAAAATAAATAAATTAGCTTCATATCAGTACAGTACTGTGATTTATGAAACAACCCGAAACTCGGGTCAGTACTTGTACTAGTATGTTACTATGAAGTATCGTATACAAAAAAACATTTAACAAAGCAATGGCCTTTTCTGGTGGGGCCTTTCAGCAGTTCCTTGATGCTAAGCACTGGTCAAGCAGCCTATTCTCTCAATTTCACACACTGTAAAAACTGCAGTTGTTTTGTATAATCAGAAATGTACAAACCCAACCAACCCACCTAACCTATTTGGGCCAATGCACAGAAAATGTGAACATTATCAGAATTATGTTCTTCCTATGAGGGGGGCAGGGAAGTTTGGTGATACAAGATGTACTCAAACTGAGAAAACCAGAAAACGTTTTAGCAACAAAACAAATAATCGCTTGAGAGAGACTGGGGACCAGAAGGTAGTAGTAGTAGTGGTGGTGGTGGTGGTGGTTGTTGGGTTAGATGCAGCTACAATTCAGGGACGAATTTACCCCACTGTTCCTGTGTAGGGTAAAAACTCACAGCCTGGAGGATAAATGTCACCTTGAATGGACCTATTGGTCCATACAAGGGAGCTCTTATTTACATCCACCCTAAACTCATTCTTATGCATGTCTACCCTACTCTCAAAAACAATCCAGTGAGCCCATGTCTAAATGGCAGAATTATCTGGTAATTTGTTCCATAAAATTATAAACCTATATCCAAATCAATATTTACCCAGGTAATTTCCTGATGATCTTTGGCATCCTACAGTGAGGCGAGTGCTAAATAGGCTTACAGGTTCCAGAAGATGAGAGGAAATGTCAGCACTGTGGAGAAATGCCTGACAGAGAACTGGAACATTATCTAACACAGTGCACAGTTACAAACTCAATAAGATTTCAATTTAGATTCAACAGAGCAGAAGTTGTTAAACACATTGGGCAAAATCTTACTGAAGTGACCATATGAGTCATAAATACTTATACTCCACCTAAGTAAAACAAAAATAAGCAACACTTAGTGGGCCAGCCAGAGGCTTAGGGCCCGCGCAGGAATTTCCCTGGAAAAAAACAAAAAGCAGTTACCCCCAACAATAGAGGTGTTAGGATTCCTGGAAGCTCTGGGTAACCAAACAAAATTATAGGTTAATGGCAGAATTATGAAGGGACCTCTCCTAAACTCTTAAGACCAATCGTTCAATGAACCAACATCTTTCTGTGACCTACAGTGGAGCAAGAGTCTGATGCCCACACTTCAAATGTAGATTGTGTGTACACACACACACCTGTTATCTTGAGGTAGAGGTTGTTGGTCGTGGGTCCAGGTGAGTGAGGCTGGGGGCTGTGAGTCAATTTGGCACGAGAGTCTCAGCGCCTCGCCCACCACCACGGTAACATTGGAAGGGGTCACTATGAAGTTCTTAGTCAAACCTGAAATAAGCAAATATGTGTCACTAGAAACATAGAATACTGTATAAGACACCGAACCATACACATAAAAATACAAAAAGAAAGGAATGTACAGTGTAATGAGGTTTCGGTCTCTCCTGTACCCTTATTAAGCTATTGTGACTTATTTTCTTCATAAATACAATTTTCCTTCATGTATAAACTTATATATACATTAATGTGCAATATTTAAATGTGCATTTTTATAATCAAAAGAATATACTTGGTCTAAGGATATCGAGAATCATCAAAATAGTACATCGCAGTAATAAGATAAATTTAGTTACAATATGGTCAAGGTAGGTGAAATCCAACCCTACCTTCTCAAGGTAACTCAGCTAATACTCTACACCAAGTAGAAACTGCAAGATAAACAAAACATCCCCACATTATCCTATCCACCTGCTTAAACAAAACATCCCTCACATCCCCCCACCTGCAGCTTAAAACATCCACCACATTCCCCCCCCCCCACCTGCAGCTTAAAACATCCACCACATTCCCCCCCCCCACCTGCAGCTTAAAACATCCACCACATTCCCCCCCCCCACCTGCAGCTTAAACAAAACATCCCCCACATACCCTCACCTGCAACATAAAACATTCCACAACCACCTGTAGCTTAAACATCCCTCACATGCAACATAAAACTCCCCCCCCCCCACCTGCAGCTTAAACATTCCCCATATTATGTAAGTAATGAAGAAATATGATATATTTACTCACTATAATGTTGGTGCTGAATGTAGAACATGAGAATACATATTTTTACTCTGAAATATGTGTAAAATTTACTCTTTTTATTAATTGTATAACAAAATTAAACAAAACTAAGTGGCAGGTGACGCCATAGGCAGTCAACGATCCAACCGACAAAATTATGGAACGACTTATTCAAGATATATTGTTACTTGGAGGATATATTTTATTTTATTTGGCTTGGTTTGGTACAGGAGGCTGATATACTCCGGGCAACAATATATCTTGGATAAGTTGCTCCACAACATTGTCGCTTGGATCGTCGACTTCCTATGGCGTCACCTGCCACTTAGTTTCGTCTAATTTCATTATAAAATGAGTAAAAGAGTAAATTTTACTCATATTTCAGAGTATAAATATGTTTTTCATGTTCTACATTCAGCACCAACATCATAGTGAGTAAATACATAATTTTTCTTCATTATTTACGTAATGCTTTGGGTAATTAGACGGAGCCGCTTGAACAAAACGTCCCCCCCCCTACCACCAGCAGCTTAAGCAAAACAATGTAAAGAGCAGCAGTGGTCACAACATTAGTTAGCTTCACGCATCAGCTGCAAGGACCCTGCATCATCAATTGAATTTACACACTCCAGGGAGCGGTGAGCCAGTAATTGAGCAAGCCTCCTCATTCGCCCTGGCCCTTGGGGCTGGCCCTTGGGGCTGGGAGCGCTAGGTCACACGTGAGGAAATTGGAGGTTAGATTGTTGGGATGGAGTCTATGGTTCGGGGAGGGGGGGCTGGAGTCTATGGTTCGGGGGAGGGAGACTGGAGTCTATGGTCTGGGAGAGGGCTGGAATCTATGGTCCGGGGGGCGTGGGCTGGAGTCTATGGTCCGGGGGGCGTGGGCTGGAGTCTATGGTCCGGGGGGCGTGGGCTGGAGTCTATGGTCCGGGGAACTGGAGTCTATGGTCCGGGGAACTGGAGTCTATGGTCCGGGGGGGGGGGGGCTGGAGTCTATGGGCTGTTATAGCCTTGTTTAAGTGTAGCTGTATGTTGGTGCTAAGCCTGGAGACTCTTCTGAGTCTACCTAAAGCTGTTTTAGTTTTGATTATTCTGTCCTTCACGAGTTCTGATTCATGTTCTATTAATCTTGAGTTCCAGGGTGAGAGAATAGTGGAGGGCTGGAGGGAGGGCCTGGGAGGGAAGTGGGTAGGCAGGGAGTTTTTTTTTCTTTGGCTGGGGGAGTAAAGAGGAAAAAAATGATGGCGAGGCACAGATGAAGGGAAAGTTTGGAAATCGGAAATATAGTGCAAGTTATGATAACAGACGGACTGTCCGCCTTGCTGACACGATGTGCAGGGAGGAAAGTGAGGGCTTGGGGACGAAAGAGGGAGGTAGGTAGGTCGTGAGGGCCTGGGAGGGAGAGAAGCGGTGGGGACCTGGGAGGGAGGGAAGGTGGTGAGGGCCTGGGAGGGAGAAGAAGTAGACAGGGAGGCGGTGAGTGCCCGGGAGGGAGGGAGGCGATGAGGGCCCGGGAGGGAGGCAGAGTAAGGAAGAGAGCAGTGTGGGTGTGAGAAGAGAGAGTGGAGTACGAGGGAGAGAGAAGAGAGAGTGACGCTACGCACATGGAGTTTTACCCTCCCCCCCGGCCCACCGACCCCCCCGTGAAAAATCAATGAGATTCCTGGCGTGGTTTGGATCACGTGGGCTGTTGCTGCTGCTGCTGCTGCTGTTGTTGCATCTGTGCAGGCCCCTTCCCGTTGCTGCTGCTCCTGCTGCTGCATCTCCCGTGCAGGCCCCCTTCCTGTTGCTGCTGTTGCATCTCCCGTGCTGGGCCCCCTTCCCGTTGCTGCTGTTGCATCTCTCGTGCTGGCCCTCCCTTCCTGTTGCTGCTGTTGCATCTCCCGTGCTGGCCCCATTCCTGTTGCTGTTGTTGCATCTCCCTTGCTGGCCCTCCCTTCCTGTTGCTGCTGTTGCATCTCCCGTGCAGGCCCTCCCTTCCTGTTGCTGCTGTTGCATCTCCCGTGCAGGCCCTCCCTTCCTGTTGCTGCTGTTGCATCTCCCGTGCAGGCCCCCTTCCTGTTGCTGTTGTTGCATCTCCCGTGCAGGCCCTCCCTTCCTGTTGCTGCTGTTGCATCTCCCGTGCAGGCCCCCTTCCTGTTGCTGCTGTTGCATCTCCCTTGCAGGGCCCCTTCCTGTTGCTGCTGTTGCATCTCCCTTGCAGGGCCCCTTCCTGTTGCTGCTGTTGCATCTCCCGTGCAGGCCCTCCCTTCCTGTTGCTCCTGTTGCATCTCCCGTGCAGGCCCCCTTCCTGTTGCTGCTGTTGCATCTCCCGTGCAGGCCCTCCCTTCCTGTTGCTCCTGTTGCATCTCCCGTGCTGGCCCCCTTCCTGTTGCTGCTGCTGCATCTCCCTTGCACGCTTGTGCTGCAGCTGTTATTGTAATCTTTGTTGATGCATATCTCGCCCCCTTCTGCTGCTGCTGTGTTAATTATAATTGTTACCTGTAATTGATAATTGTAAGTCTATCTGCTCCTGTTAATTTTAAGTGTTAACAAAACACAATTGAATGACTGCCTACATAACCCTGGACAAGCCTGGCCTCGAGCCTGGCCTCGGGTCGTGCTTGGGGAGTAGAAGAACTCCCAGAACCCCATCAAGCAGGACAAGAGGGGTTTAGAACAGGGCGCCCCCCTGCCTCTCACACTTATTAGACCACTATGACATAGAGCCTTAGCTGCCATACAAGACCAGCAAAACACTGATATAATTAATATACACAAATGTCGTGGAAGAATTCGACAAATGTGACCATCCTGGTCGAGGACCGGGCCGCGGGGACGCTAAAGCCCCGAAATCATCTCTCAAGATAACCTCAAGATGGTGTTATTGCACACAATATGCGCTCGAAAGGAATTATTGGAACAAATAGGAAGATGGATCTATAATTTCCTAGCGAACGGATCTCAAGAGTGTAATTGTCAAAAATGAAAAATCCGGACCATCCACCGTTAAAAGCTCAGTCCCCCAGGGTACTCCCGCAGGGTACTCCCGCAGGGTACTCCCGCAGGGTACTCCCCCAGGGTACTCCCGCAGGGTACTCCCCCAGGGTACTCCCGCAGGGTACTCCCCCAGGGTACTCCCGCAGGGTACTCCCCCAGGGTACTGTGCTTGCTCCGGTACCCTTTCTCTCTGAAATAGACGACGATACCGTATCATCCTTTGCAGATACCACTAGGATTTTTATGAGAGTTGGCACTATAGAGGGCACAGCGAGTGCTGTCAAGGCAAGTAACAGAATCTGTAGATTAGCAGACGTTGTCACAGCTCCACTAAGACTAGGCTACTTGCTATACATCCAGGTGATACATCCAATGGTGATACATACAATGATGTATGATGTATCATAAGAAGTGTATGGACCAATGACCCTATAATACTTCTACGGCTCAAACAATTCAACCTGTCCTCTTATAAACAACGTTGCATTTCGCTCGTATGCGTTACGTACGGCCAGGAATTGTCGTACTAGAAAATGGTAGAGGCTGGCGAAAGTGACGTACTGTCCCGTTTTCTGTTTTGGGTCCTCTGGACGGTTAGGAGAGGTCACTTTACATTGACCGTTTTTTTGACGTTTGGGAAATCTTAGGATAAGGACGGGCTGAACAATTATGTACTAGCGGAAAGACCTATAATTAATATATGATAAATTGTATATATGTAGCTACTGAAGTGAAGGATTGTAACTAGCTGATATTATAATAGGTTAGATATAATTGTACTGGTACTTCGTTACTCGGATAAGTTGTGACAGGATCTTATACCGATATAACATGAACAACCCAGCGGGTTTTCTTCCTATTGGGGAGTGTTGTACATGCTGCTATGGCGGTGTGTCCACTCACAGGATGGGTGGCGCTGCCCAATACTGTCACTATGGCGGTGTGTCCACTCACAGGATGGGTGGCGCTGCCCAATACTGTCACTATGGCGGTGTGTCCACTCACAGGATGAGTGGCGCTGCCCAATACTGTCACTATGGCGGTGTGTTCACTCACAGGATGAGTGGCGCTGCCCAATACTGTCACTATGGCGGTGTGTCCACTCACAGGATGAGTGGCGCTGCCCAATACTGTCACTATGGCGGTGTGTTCACTCACAGGATGAGTGGCGCTGCCCAATACTGTCACTATGGCGGTGTGTCCACTCACAGGATGGGTGGCGCTGCCCAATACTGTCACTATGGCGGTGTGTCCACTCACAGGATGGGTGGCGCTGCCCAATACTGTCACTATGGCGGTGTGTTCACTCACAGGATGAGTGGCGCTGCCCAATACTGTCACTATGGCGGTGTGTCCACTCACAGGATGAGTGGCGCTGCCCAGTACTGTCACTATGGTGGTGTGTCCACTCACAGGATGAGTGGCGCTGCCCAATACTGTCACTATGGCGGTGTGTCCACTCACAGGATGAGTGGCGCTGCCCAATACTGTCACTATGGCGGTGTGTTCACTCACAGGATGAGTGGCGCTGCCCAATACTGCCACTATGGCGGTGTGTCCACTCACAGGATGAGTGGCGCTGCCCAATACTGTCACTATGGCGGTGTGTCCACTCACAGGATGAGTGACGCTGCCCAATACTGTCACTATGGCGGTGTGTCCACTCACAGGATGGGTGGCGCTGCCCAATACTGTCACTATGGCGGTGTGTCCACTCACAGGATGGGTGGCGCTGCCAAATACTGTCACTATGGCGGTGTGTCCACTCACAGGATGAGTGGCGCTGCCCAATACTGTCACTATGGCGGTGTGTCCACTCACAGGATGGGTGGCGCTGCCCAATACTGTCACTATGGCGGTGTGTCCACTCACAGGATGGGTGGCGCTGCCCAATACTGTCACTATGGCGGTGTGTCCACTCACAGGATGGGTGGCGCTGCCCAATACTGTCACTATGGCAAAAACGTTTAGGAGCTTTGAAACTTCACGACCCAGGTTTGTTATTATTATAAACACACTGGCAAGAGAGTTGTACAGGTTCGTTAGTGGGTTGGTGAAATGTTTGCCGACTCCTGGCCTAGGCTGAAGGGTCAATGATGGACCAAAACGCGACATGTTCATTTCACGTGTGTGCGCTGGGTCGTTTAACACACGTTCAATTGGGCTCTATTTACCTAACTATTAGTGGCTTTTTGCGAATTGGGAGAAAAATACGGATCGCTGGCAAACTTTTTCTCTATTTACATATTTTGCTGTTGATTTAGGCTAATTTATGACGCTGGATGTGTGTGTATTGACACACGATGTGGTGTTAGTGAGTCAATCACTGTGTGTGTGTGTGTTTACTAGTTGTGTTTTGCGGGGGTTGAGCTTTGCTCTTTCGGCCCGCCTCTCAACTGTCAATCAACTGTTTTACTAACTACTTTTTTTTTTCCACACCACACACACCCCAGGAAGCAGCCCGTGACAGCTGACTAACTCCCAGGTACCTATTTACTACTAGGTAACAGGGGCACTTAGGGTGAAAGAAACTTTGCCCATTTGTTTCTGCCTCGTGCGGGAATCGAACCCGCGCCACAGAATTACGAGTCCTGCGCGCTATCCACCAGGCTACGAGGCCCCTGTGTGTGTGTGTGTGTGTGTGTGTGTGTGTGTGTGTGTGTGTGTGTGTGTGTGTGTGTGTGTGTGTGTGTACTCACCTAATTGTACTTGCGGGGTTTGAGCTCTGACTCTTTGGTCCCGCCTCTCAACTGTCAATCAACTGATGTACAGGTTCCTGAGCCTACTGGGCTCTATCATATCTACATTTAAAACTGTGTATGGCGTCAGCCTCCACCACATCACTGCCTAGTGCATTCCATTTACTAACTACTCTGACACAGAAAAAGTTCTTTCTAATGTCTCTGTGGCTCATTTGGGTAGTCAGCTTCCACCTGTGTCCCCTTGTTCGTGTGCCACCCGTGTTAAATAATCGATCCATGTCCACCCTGTCAGTTCCCCTGAGAATTTTGTATGTGGTGATTATGTCTCCCCTAGCTCTTCTGTTTTCCAGCGACGTGAGGTGCAGTTACGGAGTCAGTCCTCATAACTCATGCCTCTTAGTTCTTGGACTAGCCTAGTGGCATACCTCTGAACTTTTTCCAGCTTTCGTCTTGTGCTTATATATATATAAATATATATATATATATATATAAATATATATATATATATATATATATATATATATATATATATATATATATATACATATATATATATATATATGTCGTACCTAATAGCCAGAACGCACTTCTCAGCCTACTATGCAAGGCCCGATTTGCCTAATAAGCCTAGTTTTCATGAATTAATGTTTTTTCGTCTACCTAACCTACCTAACCTAACCTAACCTAGCTTTTTTTGGCTACCTAACCTAACCTTACCTATAAATATAGGTTAGGTTAGGTTAGGTAGGGTTGGGTAGGTTCGGTCATATATCTACGTTAATTTTAACTCCAATAAAAAAAATTGACCTCATACATAGAGAAGAGGGTTGCTTTATCATTTCATAAGAAAAAAATTATAGTAAATATATTAATTCAGGAAAACTTGGCTTATTAGGCAAATCGGGCCTTGAATAGTAGGCTGAGAAGTGAGTTCTGGCTACTAGGTACGACATATATATATATATATATATATATATATATATATATATATATATATATATATATATATATATATATATATATATATATATATATATATATATACACAGTACTGTATATAGTATATTTTGGTAGGAGTCTTTCTTGTAAACATATGTTGAATATGACCGAAAGTATAAGATTAATAATTTATTAATTATTAATAATTAATAATTAATAATTCTAACACGAATCTTCTCAATATTTGTTACGTCCTTCTTCACTGTCGAAGGTAATTGATAAATTAACTCTCCAAAATTCATTCTTTATTCCTGGTCTGACGCCTGAACGCGTTTCGTAATGCTTATTACATTTTCAAAGACTTAGTTTACACATAAAATACATTCATACATATACTCGTTTTGGGTGAGGTGACATGGCACAAAAGTTTTGGGAGAGGTGACAAATCTATACCAGAACACGAAACAATGGGTGAGAGAACATAAGAATGGAAGTAACTGCAGAAGGCCTATTGGCCCATACTTCCTCTTGCTACTTCCATGTTGGTTCGGGGTCTTGAAGTGAGTAGAATATAGTTGTGCATCAATTTATCAATTACCTTCGACAGTGAAGAAGAACGTATAAATATTATATATATATATATATATATATATATATATATATATATATATATATATATATATATATATATATATATATATATATATATATATATATATGAGACATCAATTGGAACAATGAAGTGACATGGCTCCACAGTCGGGTACTACCAGCCGGGAGGAAGCATGACAAAAGTCCTCAAGAACAATAAGGGGACCCTTTGACAAGCCGCCTGCTTTCTGTCCCTGACAAGGCCACTTAAAAATAGCCGCCTTCGGGTAAATTCCGGAATGACCTCTGTACCGTGTGTGAGGTTGGGGGAAGGAACTGAATCATGTAGTGTCAAATGTACTTACTAGCACACCGGAATGCAGACGAGAGATGCACTTACTAGCACACCGGAATGCAGACGAGAGATGCACTTACTAGCACACCGGAATGCAGGCGAGAGATGCACTTACTAGCACACCGGAATGCAGGCGAGAGATGCACTTACTAGCACACCGGAATGCACGCGTGAGATGCACTTACCAGCACACCGGAATGCACGCGTGAGATGCACTTACCAGCACACCGGAATGCAGGCGAGAGATGCACTTACTAGCAAGCCGGAGGGTGACGGGTGGGCCGGTGATGGTCCCCTGGCGGGTAGTAATGAGGCAGCGGTACTCCCCCTCGTCCGTCGCTCCTGACCGTCGGTGAACCATCTGAAACACAAGAGAAGAATACTTCATACCACGTATGTACATGTACTAGCTCTCTCATGTATGTACATGTATGTACTAGCTCTCTCTATAAATCCAACATTATGATTATAACTCATATGTATGTACTTTTACCTGAATAAACATTTGAATTTGAATTTGGTACGTCGCCTCCCATTGGCTACTAAGGGTCACGTGACCTGTAAAGCGGATATGACATCAGAGCTCAACCAGACGCCATCTTGTATGACCACAACGACGCATATAAATATTGATACATCCCAAATATTGACCTTATGACACAAATTTATACATCTTAATATAGGGGAAATATTTACTAGCAGTCGCTGCTTGACCGGTGAGTTTAAATCTAAAAAAAACATTCATAATATTACGAAAGAGTTAGTGTAAGGCTCCTTCTCTCCCCCCTTCCCCATACACACACACTCCCTACACCCATTCTCGACACCCTCACACCAGGCGGGGAAAGTTATTAAGTTATTCAAAGTTATTAATAAAAGAGGGGGAGATTGATAGTGCAGGTCATAATTAACTGTTAGCATCAAGCATAAATTAGGGGCCCGTCCTCCCATTCATCACCGAGTGCCAACTCGAACCCCGGGATATAATTTTTTCTCAGGTCAGCCGTTTATTTAACGACTTAACCCCTACCTGCTTTATCACGGTTACTGTTCCGTCGGCTTTACCACGGTTACTGTTCCGGCAGCTTTATCGCGGTTACTGTTCCGGGGGCTTTATCACGGTTACTGTTCCGGCGGCTTTATCACGGTTACTGTTCCGGCAGCTTTATCGCGGTTACTGTTCCGTCGGCTTTACCACGGTTACTGTTCCGGCAGCTTTATCGCGGTTACTGTTCCGTCGGCTTTACCACGGTTACTGTTCCGGCAGCTTTATCGCGGTTACTGTTCCGTCGGCTTTACCACGGTTACTGTTCCGGCGGCTTTATCACGGTTACTGTTCCGGCAGCTTTATCGCGGTTACTGTTCCGGCGGCTTTATCACGGTTACTGTTCCGGCGGCTTTATCACGGTTACTGTTCCGTCGGCTTTATCTCGGTTACTGTTCCGTCGGCTTTATCGCGGTTACTGTTCCGTCGGCTTTATCGCGGTTACTGTTCCGGCGGCTTTATCTCGGTTACTGTTCCGTCGGCTTTATCGCAGTTTACCACGGGTTTCAAGTCCCTGTGAATGTTTGGCATCCCAAGTGCACGGGTTTCAAGTCCCTGTGAATGTTTGGCGTCCCAAGTTCACGGGTTTCAAGTCCCTGTGAATGTTTGGCGTCCCAAGTGCACGGGTTTCAAGTCCCTGTGAATGTTTGGCGTCCCAAGTGCACGGGTTTCAAGTCCCTGTGAATGTTTGGCGTCCCAAGTGCATAGGTTTCAAGTCCCTGTGAATGTTTGGCATCCCAAGTGTACGGGTTTCAAGTCCCTGTGAATGTTTGGCGTCCCAAGTGCACGGGTTTCAAGTCCCTGTAAATGTTTGGCGTCCCAAGTGCACGGGTTTCAAGTCCCTGTAAATGTTTGGCGTCCCAAGTGCATGGGTTTCAAGTCCCTGTGAATGTTTGGCGTCCCAAGTGTACGGGTTTCAAGTCCCTGTGAATGTTTGGCGTCCCAAGTGCACGGGTTTCAAGTCCCTGTGAATGTTTGGCGTCCCAAGTGCATAGGTTTCAAGTCCCTGTGAATGTTTGGCATCCCAAGTGTACGGGTTTCAAGTCCCTGTGAATGTTTGGCGTCCCAAGTGCACGGGTTTCAAGTCCCTGTGAATGTTTGGCGTCCCAAGTGTACGGGTTTCAAGTCCCTGTGAATGTTTGGCGTCCCAAGTGTACGGGTTTCAAGTCCCTGTGAATGTTTGGCGTCCCAAGTGCACGGGTTTCAAGTCCCTGTGAATGTTTGGCGTCCCAAGTGCACGGGTTTCAAGTCCCTGTGAATGTTTGGCGTCCGACAGTTGAAGTGTTTACACCTGCGTGAGTGCCAGGGCGGACAAAGTGAGCAGTGAGCAAGTAGTTACTTATGAGCTAGAGCGCGTGGCTGTAAGATGAGACTCTCCACCCACACACCGTCTCCTCTACTGCCTCTTCTGTGAAGGGCCAGCACCCCCACAGCCAGGGAGCTACAGGAACCCACCACCACAGCCAGGGAGCTACAGGGACCCACCACCACAGCCAGGGAGCTACAGGAACCCACCACCACAGCCAGGGAGCTACAGGGACCCACCACCACAGCCAGGGAGCTACAGGGACCCAACATCACAGCCAGGGAGCTACAGGGACCCACCACCACAGCCAGGGAGCTACAGGACCCCACCACCACAGCCAGGGAGCTACAGGGACCCACCACCACAGCCAGGGAGCTACAGGGACCCACCACCACAGCCAGGGAGCTACAGGACCCCCACCACCACAGCCAGGGAGCTGCAGGGACCCACCACCACAGCCAGGGAGCTACAGGACCCCCACCACCACAGCCAGGGAGCTACAGGGACCCAACATCACAGCCAGGGAGCTACAGGGACCCACCACCACAGCCAGGGAGCTACAGGACCCCACCACCACAGCCAGGGAGTTACAGGGGCCCACCACCACAGCCAGGGAGCTACAGGGACCCACCACCACAGCCAGGGAGCTACAGGGACCCACCACCACAGCCAGGGAGCTACAGGGACCCACCACCACAGCCAGGGAGCTACAGGGACCCACCACCACAGCCAGGGAGCTACAGGGACCCTCCACCACAGCCAGGGAGCTACAGGGACCCACCACCACAGCCAGGGAGCTACAGGGACCCACCACCACAGCCAGGGAGCTACAGGACCCCCACCACCACAGCCAGGGAGCTACAGGGACCCACCACCACAGCCAGGGAGCTACAGGGACCCACCACCACAGCCAGGGAGCTACAGGGACCCACCACCACAGCCAGGGAGCTACAGGGACCCACCACCACAGCCAGGGAGCTACAGGGACCCAACACCACAGCCAGGGAGCTACAGGGACCCACCACCACAGCCAGGGAGCTACAGGGACCCACCACCACAGCCAGGGAGCTACAGGACCCCCACCACCACAGCCAGGGAGCTACAGGGACCCTCCACCACAGCCAGGGAGCTACAGGGACCCACCACCACAGCCAGGGAGCTACAGGACCCCCACCACCACAGCCAGGGAGCTACAGGGACCCTCCACCACAGCCAGGGAGCTACAGGGACCCACCACCACAGCCAGGGAGCTACAGGGACCCTCCACCACAGCCAGGGAGCTACAGGACCCCCACCACCACAGCCAGGGAGCTACAGGGACCCACCACCACAGCTGTGTTTACTTGAGAAGCACTTAACCACTGATAGCAGCCATGTTTGTATCAAGCAGGTGAAATTCCGCGCGCGCCGGGGTCTCCGCACCTGCAGGAGTGAGACTAACTCACTCGACATTCAAAAGGCGGTGATTCATTGTTGCAGCTTTCAGTAAATAAGCCTTCAGGATTACATATGCTTATCAGCTGCTCAAGAAAACGTCCTTCTATTATCTGAAAACCAGTTATAACATGTTTACCACTTTATGTTTATTAACTTAGTCATATGTGCATTTACAGGAGTACGCAGCGAGGACGCTAAGTCCCGAAACCATCTCAGGGTAAAGTAACAATGGCATCAGTTCCTAGTACATTCTAGTAGTGTACTCCCTAGTACATGAGTGTGGTGTGGCTGGAGGTGTGGTGGGGCAGGAGCCACACCTCCAGCCCCGACACAACCTTACCAACGGAGATAAGGACGCCACACCTGTCACTCAAGTGTACTAAGCTGTCACCAGACACCCATATACCCAGAGACTTGACGCTCTGCGTGTGAGGACTTGCCCTGCGGCCACCCTGCGGCTGCCCTGCGGCTGCCCTGCGGCCCACACTAACGCAGTCATACTCACCACACTGCTAGGGTTACGCACCGCCAGGGTACGCCAATGATCGCCCCAACACTTCTACTGTTGTGTGCTACTCCCGAGGTCACTGTACAGGTGGCTGTGTACAGTATACCTGGAGCATACCTGGAGAGGGTTTCAGGAGTTCTACTCCCCCCCCGAGCCCGGCCTGAGGCCAGCCTCGGCTTGTGATAACTTGGTCCAACAGGCTGTTGCTTAGAGCGGCCCACATGCCCACATATTTGCTACAGCCTGGTTGGTCCGGCACTTCTTGCAAGAATCTGTCCAATTGCCTCTTGAATACCTCACCTTCGTTCTGGCAATACAGAATTTCCAATGCTTGCTAAAACCATAGATGGGAAACATCAGGGAACCATGAACAACCATGGATCCCTGATGTTAAGATAGTGTTCTCTGATTGTGCCTATGGCACCTCTACTCCTCAATGGTTATATTCTCCATTTCCTTCTGTATCTTTCATTCCAGTATGTTGTTATTCTACTGTACACATATGGGACCTGGCCCTCCAGTATCTTCCATGTATATATTATTTGATACCTTTCTCGTCTCCTTTCCAGAGAGTACATTTTGAGAGCTTTGAGACGGTCGCAATAATTCAGATGTTTTATCGTTTCAATGCGTGCCGTATATGTTCTCTGCACTCCATCTAATTCAGAGATCTCTCCTGTTCCGAAAGGGGAAGTGAGTACCCAGTAATACTCAATATGGGACAGTACTAGTGATTAAATAGTGTTAACATGCTCAAGGTTTGTTAAACCCCTCAATGTGTTAACAAACCTTGAGGGGTTTGTTTACCTTGAGGTGTTTTCGGGGCTTAGCGTCCTCGCGGCCCGGTCGTCGACCAGGCCTCTTCAAGTTACGAGAGAGCAGGATGAGGCGACAAGAGTGGAAGCTGGAGACACAGACGCGTCGTAGAAATAACTCAATACTCGCACCCTGTACGGCTGGTCAACAAATGGAACGCACTGAAGAAGTTGTAGAAGCCACCTCTATTCACAACCTTAAAGTTAGATTCGACACAGAATTCAAACGTCAGAATGGTTAAAGTATATCGCTAGTAGGCGGGGCATTAAGAGCTGGGCCGCACTCCCCAGTAGCCAGTGGTAAGTAAGTGCTGATAGGTAAGTTGGGAGCCGCAACAACACAACTCCATTCAACAATTCCTTCGTTGACCAGACCACACACTAGAAGGTGAAGGGGCGACGACGTTTCGGTCCGTCACGGACCGAAAGTCGATTGTCCCGGTCGTCGACTTGAGAATGGTCCAGAATGGACCGAAACGTCATCGTCCCTTCACCTTCTAGTGTGTGGTCTGGTCAACATACTTCAGCCACGTTATTGTGACTCATCGTCAACCATTCCTGCCTTGGTTTACATCGGTTTATGTGTAGCTCTCATACGGGCAAGTGGTCCTTCACCCTGTACACCCTTGTAGTTCACCTGTAGCTGTCTTGATAGTTGTGTTCTCCAAGCCCAGATGTTGTGGAGGATGGCCACATCAACACGCCGCCAACAACAACAACTCTACGGATCTACCAACCCATGTTTTATAAGTAAGGTTCAACAGTAGCTGTCCGAAGGGACAGACTTCCCTTTATAACAAGTTAAAGGCCACACTGCATAATTATATACAATTTTGCATATACAAATACAATATACAATCATATACAATTTATCATATATACTTTATACTTTATATATATACTTTATCATATACGATTTTGCACCAGTGTCTATATTCAACTTATTACTCTAAAAAATCCTCTCTTATCCACTTTTTATCTTATCTCTCTTATATCATCTTATTATCATAATCTTATTATCACCTCTCTCTTATCCAAAATCCACCTTTTGTGATGTTTCGACATCACAAGCTGGGAATTATGAACACATATGTTCTTAATCCCTGGAGATCTATTGTGCGGCACGACTAATACATATGTATATCTGAGACGACTAATACATATGTATATCTGAGCACAATAACTTCCGTACTAGGCTGGGAGGGTTGTAAGTCCCATCTTGCACAAGACGGTTCCTCAATAGATTTAAGACATAGTTTAAGTTTACCAAACCGAAACCAACCTAACCATACCTAACCTTACGTTACCTTACGTTACTTTACCTAACCTAACTTAACCTTACCTTACCTTACCTTACCTAACCTTACCTTACCCAAACCAACCTAACCTAACTCAAGCGAGCGTAACATCATTACTTAAGCTAGTATATCTTAAGATATACGGTTTTAATGAACAGAAAACGAGCTTTGTCGACAGTCTTGTGAACCACTTACTATACCCCCGGGTAGAGTACCCAGGCCAGGTAGAGTACCCAGGCCGGGTAGAGTACCCAGGCCGGGTAGAGTACCCAGGCCAGGTAGAGTACCCAGGCAGAGTAGAGTACCTAGGCCGGATAGAGTACCCAAATGTACTCACTAGAAAGGAAACGAGAGAGATACCAAATAATATACACATGGAAGATACTGGAGGGCCAGGTACCAAATCTACACAGTAAAATAACAACATACTGGAGTGAACGATATGGAAGAAAATGTAGAATAGAACCAGTGAAGAGCAGAGGTGCCATAGGCACAATCAGAGAACACTGTATAAACATCAGAGGTCCGCGGTTGTTCAACACCCTCCCAGCGACTATAAGAAATATTGCCGGAACAACCGTGGACATCTTCAAGAGGAAACTAGATAGTTTCCTCCAAGGAGTGCCGGACCAACCGGGCTGTGGTGGGTATGTGGGCCTGCGGGCCGCTCCAAGCAACAGCCTGGTGGACCAAACTCTCTGTTAGGACGATATGTAGAGAGCAAGGTATGGCCGTCGTCAACACAGCCTCATATGTATGGTAATGATGTGACATGTGCTGCCCCCTGGCCCCTCACTACCCGGCCCTCACCACCCGGCCCTCACTACCCGGCCCTCACCACCCGGCCCTCACCACCCGGCCCTCACCACCCGGCCCTCACCACCCGGTCCTCACCACCCGGTCCTCACCACCCGGCCCTCACTACCTGGCCCTCACCACCCGGCCCTCACCACCCGGCCCTCACCACCCGGTCGCACGCACGCACGCACTTTGGAAGGGATAAGGGTTGAGGCTATGGCGGAGGAAAGAAATGGTGACCAACCACTTGGACGATAGAGGATTGAACGCCGACCTGCAAGAAGCGAGATCGTCGCCCTAATTCTCCAGGAAGTCACAGTTCCCCTTATTGTGGGGCAAATTACCTTCAAGACCACCGCTTGATACCTGGTTGATGGGGTTCTTGGAGTTCTTCTACTCCCCAAGCCCGGCCCGAGGCCAGGCTTGACTTGTGAGTGTTTGGTCCACCAGGCTGTTGCTTGGAGCGGCCCGCAGGCCCACATACCCACCACAGCCCGGCTGATCCGGAACCGCGGCCTCGTATTAACCACTCGGAAAGTTTGAGAGGTTCTTCAGCCTCAAGCTAGACCCATGTGGCATTAACTATGCAGCAAAATTCACATTCTTAGGGCGTCAGTAACCATGGCTGCTCCTATTCAAAGCTGGGACCAGATTCACGAAGCAGTTACGCAAGCACTTACGAACCTGTACAACTTTTCTCAATGTTCGGCGGCTTTGTTTACAATTAATAAACAGTTAATGAGCTCCGAAGCACCAGGAGGCTGTTTATAACAATAACAACAGTTGATTGGCAAGTTTCCACGCTTGTAAACTGTTTAATAAATGTAACCAAAGACGTCAAAGATTAAGGAAAGATGTACACGTTCGGATTGCAAATGAATTCGCAAGAACAGACCGAATACATTACCTATAGTTTACCTGTTGATGACTTGCTAAGGATTTCGAATTCTGCTCCAGCAGCCTGGCCAGCCCCAAGAGACTGTCCTCAGCCCCACACAGTCTGATGGATCAGCAGGTGACTCACCTTAGTAATATTGAGGTGACCAGCAGGGGTCAGCATGTGACTCACCTTAGTAATATTGAGGTGACCAGCAGGGGTAAACAGGTGACTCACCTTAGTAATATTGAGGTGACCAGCAGGGGTAAACAGGTGACTCACCTTAGTAATATTGAGGTGACCAGCAGGGGTAAACAGGTGACTCACCTTAGTAATATTGAGGTGACCAGCAGGGGTCAGCAGGTGGCGCCGATCAAGTACAGTGGTGTTGTTATGTAGCCAGGTCACATTGACCCAGGTGTGGGCGGGGAGTGTGGCGCCCAGGGCACACTGCAGGAGGGCGCCAGCACCACGTGCCGCCCACACACGCCCGCCCACGCTCCCCCACCATGAACCAGATAAGCCTGAAACAAAAACAGGTCTTCAACACATGACACTCACAACACTGTATTTACAATCACAAACACAACAGCTAAATTTAATATATATATCAAACGCCATAATCGAACAGTCCATTTGTGCGTGTCCACTATGGCTCCCCGGCGCCTGTACCCGCTTTAATGGCGCAGCAAATGTTCAATACAGCTTTTGAACTAGAAATAAACATTTTAGATTTAGAAATTAATTATTATTTTGATTTTCTGTTTACCAATATAAAGACAAGCTGGTGAAAATCGAACACTAAAGCCAATCGATCAAAACCGAACACTGGTTAATGAAAATCAAACAAACCGAACTCCAAACATCAGTTATTTACGACACCTAAAATTTGACAAACTTTGTTGTATAGCACAACAAGCCCAGAACCACCAGAGACCGGGCCGCGAGGACTTGGATCCTCGGAACCAACGCAAGCTAACCCCATGATCCAGAGAACATCTTCAGAGCCCCACAGTGGGGATCGAACGAGCGTCCCGGATAACCCCAGACGGGCGCCTCTCTCTCCGTGGTGGTTCGATTCCCATCCTGCTCCTCACACACACACACACCCACACACACACACCACACACACACACACACACACACACACACACACACACACACACACACACACACACACACACACACACACACACACACGCGCGCACACGCACACGCACACACGCACATAATATTATATATATATATATATATATATGCGTATATATATATATATATATATATATACGTGCTATATAGGAGTGCTATATATATATATATATATATATATATGCGTATATATATATATATATATATATATATATATACGTGCTATATAGGAGTGCTATATATATATATATATATATATATATATATATATATATATATATATATATATATATATATATATGTATAATATATATATATATATATATATATATATATATATATATATATATATATATATATATATATATATATATATGGGTGTATCATATCTCCAGTTGAAGCTGTACAGGGAGTGAGCATCCCCCCCCCACCCCCCTACACGCACAGACACGATAAACCACTCACACTATTATCACCCTCACAACCACTTGGACTGGACGGTAGAGCGACGGCCTCGCTTCATGCAGGTCGGCGTTCAATCCCCGACCGTCCACAAGTAGTTGGGGCACCATTCCTTCCCTCCCCCGTCCCATCCCAAATCCTTATCCTGACCCCTTCCCAGTGCTATATATAGTCGTAATGGCTTGGCGCTTTCCCTTGATAGTTCACTTCCCTTCCCTCTGGAGACGAGAGCTGTCTCCTATATCCTATATATCTGTATCCTATGATATATGCATGGAGGACACTGGAGGGCCCAGGTCCTATATTGGTGCAGTAATATACAACCTGGAGAGAAAGACGTGTAAGCAGAAGAGAAAAAGTGAAAAGAAGAGGTGCTATATGAAGAGAGGAGTGCTATATGAAGAGAGGAGTGCTATATGAAGAGAGGAGGGCTATATGAAGAGAGGAGGGCTATATGAAGAGAGGAGTGCTATATGAAGAGAGGAGTGCTATATGAAGAGAGGAGTGCTATATGAAGAGAGGAGGGCTATATGAAGAGAGGAGTGCTATATGTAGAGAGGAGTGCTATATGAAGAGAGGAGTGCTATATGAAGAGAGGAGTGCTATATGAAGAGAGGAGGGCTATATGAAGAGAGGAGTGCTATATGAAGAGAGGAGGGCTATATGAAGAGAGGAGTGCTATATGAAGAGAGGAGGGCTATATGAAGAGAGGAGTGCTATATGAACGCTGAGAAGTCACAACTTGTTCAATACCCTCCCAGCAAATATAAGAAATATTGCCGATACAAAAGTTGAAGTATTCAAGAGCAAATTAGAAACTTTCTTACAAGAAGTACATGACCAACCTGGTTGTAGTTGCTATGTGACCTGCAGGCTACTTAAAGCAACAGCCTGATGGACCAAGTGATCACTAGTCAAGCCTGGCTTAAAGCCGATGAGTAGAAGAACCCCCAGAACCATGTTCACTATACTAATAGAATATATTATCATGACACTGACAAATTATTTATAATATCTTTAAATAAAAATGGAACACCACATATAAAACGAATAAGGTGCAAAATAGCCCCGTTGAAAATCAGGCCCACATACCCACTACAGTCTGGTTGGTCCGGCACTACAGGCAAGAACTTATCTAATTGCTCTTGAAGACATCCACCTTTGTTCCAGCAATATGTCTAATGCTTGCTGGGAGGGTGTTGAACAGCGGTGGACCTCTGATGTTCAGTGTTCTCTGATTGTGCCTATGGCACCTCTACTCCTCACTGGTTCTTTTCTGCATTTCCTACCGTACTTTTCACTCCAGTATGTTGTTATTCTACTGTGCACATATGGGACCTGGCCTGCCAGTATCTTCCATATATATATATATTATTTGATACCTTTCTCGTTTACTTTCCAGAGAGTACATTTTGAGAGCTTCGAGACGGTGCCAGAGAGCGAGACAGCGTTGGAGTGTGAATAAGTGTGGCAGCGTGAGAGAGAGCGTGGCAGCTTGAGAGAGAGCGTGGCAGCGTGAGGGAGAGCGTGGCAGCGTGAGGGAGAGCGTGGCAGGGTGAGGGAGAGCGTGGCAGCATGAGAGAGAGAGCGTGGCAGCGTGAGAGAGAGAGCGTGGCAGCGTGAGGGAGAGCGTGGCAGCGTGAGGGAGCGTGGCAGCGTGAGAGAGCGTGGCAGCGTGAGAGAGAGCGTGGCAGCGTGAGAGAGAGCGTGGCAGCGTGAGAGCGTGGCAGCGTGAGGGAGAGCGTGGCAGCGTGAGGGAGAGCGTGAGAGAGCGTGGCAGCGTGAGGGAGAGCGTGAGAGAGCGTGGCAGCGTGAGGGAGAGCGTGGCAGCGTGAGAGAGAGAGCGTGGCAGCGTGAGAGAGAGAGCGTGGCAGCGTGAGAGAGAGAGAGAGCGTGGCAGCGTGAGGGAGAGCGTGAGACAGCGTGAGGGAGAGAGCGTGTCAGAGGAAGGGAGAGCGTATGAGGGCGGGCGGTGAGAGGAGCACCAGCGCGGGGTAGAGCCCGCCATATGTACGGGGTAGAAGCCTCGCCCTTGAGAGGGTGCGCGGATGACGGAATGCTAGCGACGCGGGGTGAGTGTACCCGCCGTCCCCCCGATGAGTCGCGCTGGGTACGTGCATTCCGGTCCGCTCCTCTCCCTTCTCTCACCCGGGCTCTACCACAATCTACCACGGCTCTCTACCACACCCGCCACGGCTCTCTACCACACTACCACGGCTCCCTCTCTCTACCACACCCGCCACGGCTCCCTCTCTCTACCAGCCACGGCTCCCTCTCTCTACCAGCCACGGCTCCCTCTCTCTACCAGCCACGGCTCCCTCTCTCTACCACACCCGCCACAATATTTCTCAAACACAAACACACACAACACAACACCCAACACAACACACAACACACACATACAACACACACATACAACACACACACACAACACACACACACAACACACACACACAACACACACACACAACACACACACACACAACACAACACAGCACACACACACAACACAACAACACAGCACACACACAACAGACACCATTCATAACTTAAAAAGCAGCTATGGTGCGGAAATAGGTCAGGAGTGTACATTAGACAAGCGGCGGATGGTGAAGGTCTGTGGTGTGGCTTGCAGGCTAACTACCCGTGTCAACTAGGGGGTAGGTGTGGGCAGGCAGGGTGGCGGGCGGCGAGGGCACGAGAGGAGTTTGGTGGGGTAGGGAAACGCGGGTCTGTAGTCTTGCAGCAAATGGGTTGGGGCGGGGAACTATGCCACAAAAAGCGAGGGTAGGAATGTTCGGCATCCAACCCTTCCGCCACCCCGCTGCCGGACGCACGACCCGACACTACCATCATCCCGCTGCCGGACGCACGACCCGACACTACCATCATCCCGCTGCCGGACGCACGACCCGACACTACCACCATCCCGCTGCCGGACGCACGACCCGACACTACCACCATCCCGCTGCCGGACGCACGACCCGACACTACCACCATCCCGCTGCCGGACGCACGACCGGACACTACCACCACCCCGCTGCCGGACGCACAACCCGACACTACCACCACCCCGCTGCCGGACGCACAACCCGACACTACCACCACCCCGCTGCCGGACGCACAACCCGACACTACCACCACCAAGCTGCCGGACGCACAATCCGACACTACCACCACCCCGCTGCCGGACGCACGACCCGACACTACCACCACCCCGCTGCCGGACGCACAACCCGACACTACCACCACCCCGCTGCCGGACGCACGACCCGACACTACCACCACCCCGCTGCCGGACGCACGACCCGACACTACCACCACCCCGCTGCCGGACGCACGACCCGACACTACCCCACCTCAATACAGCCGTCGACACCCCTACACCTATACTCGACCCACCTGGCGTCAATGACCCAAAGTGCCGCCACTAGGCACTATGTATTTTGTACCGTTTAGCTCCTATCTTCCACCACGAGTCATAACACCACCCACTCTACACTTAAATATTTTAATATCTATTATTAAAAAATTTATATTTAAAATATTTTTATTTGAAATATTTCTATTTATTTCTATTTAATATGTATTATTCTAGAGCGCAGGCGAGACACATAATAATTTACACTTGGAAAATATTAGAGGGATTGATCACACACAGAGATCACACTAACGTGATGCATCAAATGAACAAATCCACAAGGGCCGTGACGAGGATTCTAACCTGCGTCCGGGAGCATCAATCTTGCAACCAATCTTACATTGATGTAACTACATCAACATCAACATCTACACACTATCACCAGCAATGGTTCGCGCCAGCTGTGAGAGTTTATGCAGAGTGGGCGGGGACATGTAGGGTGGACAGTGGGCGGGGACATGTAGGGTGGACAGTGGGCGGGGACATGTAGGG